TGATTACAACTATAATTTGATGATGAATTTACATTCTACTCTTGTTATAATTTAAAACTTTCTCCAGTACCGAAGAAATTATTCAAAAATGAAATACTTCTTTTAATACACAAATCAGGTCTTGAGATATAGATCTGTGGCACAGTGCCTGCCTGGCAAGCACAAGGTCCTGAATTTTATTCCCTGTACCCCTGCCCCAATACACAAATAATTAAGCTATACATTTTTCTTAATTTGGAGGAACAACATATGTATCGTATGATGTTCTAGTATCTCTTCTTCATTGTTCTCATGGACTAGTACTAAAATCACTATCTCTAAATAAGCAATTACACATTTTTTTAAGTGTGTTAAGTAAGTTACATTTAACCTAGAAACAATGACCTGGGGAACTTACATCAAAAAAACTATAGCAAATTAAACTGACCTTTGAAAACATACTGCAATTTCTAATATACTGTAATCTACTGAATTTTGATAAGGAAAACCTACAGAATTCAGTACCAAGTTTCTGACAGAAGGGTCATAATTATAGAGATTTTTCATATTAACTTTATGATAGCCAGGGAGCTCAGTGGCATAAGCACCTGCCTGGCAAGTGCAAGGTCCTTAGATCTCCTACACAAAAAACATTCAACATAAATTTCATAGTAATGATTTTTTTGAGAACAGGTCTTGCTGTGCAGTTCAGGCTGGCCTGAAACTCACAGTCATCCTCCCTGCCTCAGCTTCCCTAACGCTGACATCACAGCCATTTCCAAACAAGCCTGACAGTAAAAATCATTAAAAGTCCACTTCTCCAGTCAGTGTTTGCATTCAGAGGAGAAATTAAAAACGAAATCTCCTGACCCCAATACAGACCTAAAGGGACAAAACACTGGAGGCTACATCCATCAATCAGTGTTTTAACAAGCTTTTTCAGTAGCTCTGATGTATGCTAAGGTCTACAACCATTGCTCTATTGCCTTTAAATCAGGAAAAAGAACTTTAATGACATTCTACATATGGTTCAAATAATAAAACAAAATTCCTTACCAGGTGGTGGTTGTGAAGGGTTAAAACTTGCTCGCAGAAAAGGAGGTGGAGGGATTGGACTGAAGCCAGGAGGAGGAACTGGCATTGACACGGGAAAGGCTGGTGGAACTAAACTAACCGTAGGCACCGCTGGAGCTACTGGAATCTTTTGTGGATACAAAGAAAGTTCACTAATCAGTTTATTCACCTGTAACAATTATATCTTGGGGCAACTAAAGGTAAATTATATTGAATTAGTATGTATCATCAAGTCCTCTCCCACTTTGTGAGTAAAGCTATATATGGTAAAAGCAAGACAACAGTATTTAACAGGCAGTATACCTGCAGATTTTAAGATCTTTTGTATCAGACTCAATTTTCAACTGCAATCTGCCCTAAATTTAGTACTTAGATTAACTTGTCATTACATATGTCAATAATACGTTTCAAACATTTTGAATTCTCACAACCCTATTTTCTAATCCTAACATACTTTACTCATTCTAAGTATAAGAGGTCCCAAACACGTACCTGCTATATACCTTTACCTCCGTCCTGACTGAAATTCCTATTATGATCAGCTGTCTCTATTCAACATCTAACTTTATTACCTAAGAGATATTTCACATTTTGACATGAACACCATCATTCCAATTCCTAAGACCCTAAGCAGACCCTCTGCTTTTTCTCACAACTCCAAATTCAATACTTCTAATAAGTTCCACTGGTCACACCATCAAAATTTATCCAGTATCTGAGCAAGTTTCCTTGCTTCCACCACTGGTAGTCTATTATAAGTCACTATTATCCTTCAACTGTATCACAATTATCCTTTAACTGGTCTCCCAGCTTTTAGCGATATTTGCAGCCTATTTTCAAAATAGCCAGTGTAATCCTTAAAAACTTAATTCAGATCTAGTAGTTTCTGTTTGAAATACTCCAATAGCTCATCTCATTCAGAATGAAAATCTAAGTCGTCAAAAAGGTTTACCTCCAACTTACCTGCCCCTACCATTTACAGCCACTTAAGAATTCCACATTCTTGAGACCAAGCAAACCTGGTTCCTGGCACAGGGACTCTACATTAGTTGTTCCTTCTCTCCCTGAATTGCTCTTCCTCAGATATCTATCTACATAGGTAATTACCCCACCATCTCTAAGCTGTCGCTCAAATGTCACAATCTCAATTATATCCACCCTAACCATGTAAGCATCTAACCACAAAACTGTTCATAATACTTCCAAAGGATCTTACTCTTATTTTTAAATTTTCTGTCTCCCAAATTGAAAATGAGGACTCCAAAAGAACATGTTTTTTTTTTTTCCTCACTGACATGACCCTCATTCAAGGTAACAAGAACAGCGAATGTTTCACAACCAGCACACAATAAAATATATATTAAGTTAATATAAACATAGGTGATACCATTTCTAAAATAATTTTCCAAAAATGCTTGACCAAATTCATCAACACATTTATTGGCTGTCTACAGACCTGACTTCATAGGAAAACATGAATATAAAGAGAACAATCATGCAAGTTAAAGGAAATAATTTCACATTTACTTTTAAGTTTTGTGTTTAGCAAAATGACTTCATAGTACTAGCAAAGTTTTTCCTAAAAAATATATTTAAACAAAAAGTTATTTGTCTAACACAATGACAAGTATTTTAAATCAGACAATTTCATTCAAGTTTTTATGAAGTAAATACATGAATCAACACAAACATAAAATTATACCTTAATAAAAAGCACTAACCTGCAACATGGCAACAGGTGGAGGGAAAACCTCTGTCTGGGTTGTGACCACTGTTTCCTTTTCAACTGGAGTTGGACTCTGAGTAGTCTGGACTGTCTCTTTAATGGGTTCTGAGCTTTTCACAGTTTCCCATTCTAAACAAAATATTTGAAATTGATTTCCTTTGGATAGGTGCAACTTTTTGGTTTTTCCTGTGTATACATTTGTATCACATCTAACTCTTACATCTACCTTAGCAAGTCTCTGATATATCCACAACTTTGGTCTTACCCTAAATTTCTGCCCAGATAAATCAATTAGGATACTAACAAATAGCACAATACATGAGACAGAGGAAAGACACTAAAACTTTTAGTCTAGAGAAAACAGAAGACAGACAATGGAAATATATCTCAAAGACTGTTGGATATAAGAGGAACCAACCTTTCTCTATATTTTATCACAAGGCAATAAGTAAAGACCAACAAAGACCATACCATTCCAACAAAGAAAAACCCTCCTGACAATACAGTTAAATAAAAATAGAACAAAGAGGCTCTAAATGGTCCTCTCAAAATTTTCCATCTCAAAGTAAAGATCAAGACTTTCCTCCTCTGTATGTTCTTGCTTTTGTCTACTATTCACTTCTTGCATTACTCAAGTTATATAAGTCTATTTTTTATTAGAGTAGGCCCTTCTGATTTTCTCCGAATCAACTGTTCTTTCCCTAAATGGCTGCATGTCTTACTCCTTCAAATGTCTCTGTAACAAACCTACAACCACATAAGAAACCTAACATCTCTACACCCACTCCATTCATCTCTCTTCCTTGCTTTTTCTTCATATAACTTATCAAAACAGTTACACATTTTATGTTTTTTATTATTTATAACTTTAACAGTGATGGCAAAACTTTCAGAGATGTGTGCCCAAACAGCAACCCAAAACCCACTTACTTATTGCAAAGTGCCAAAGTACAACCAAGCCTGGCCTTTGGTTTAGAAAAAACAACTCATACATAAACATTTTTGGTCTTAAAAACAACATGTGTTCACCATGACTGCACATATATTGTGGGCCATATGCTGTTACAACAGTGCAACAGAACATAAAGGTCACATAAAACAGAGAACCACATGGCTGTATTTCAGTGTAACTTTTTTTTGGAGAACAGAATACTGATAAGCTTTGGCCCATTGACTCATGGGAGGAGTAATTTTTCCACTGTCATTTCACAATTCCAGCTCATAAAATCACGTCTGATACACAGCAGAAACTGAAATACTGAAAGAATTAATTTCCTGAAGAAAAAGAAAATACCATTGGAGAAGAAGGGCACAGCACTGACACGCAGAAAAGAAATTTTTAAAGACTTGTGCATGCTAAGCACACATTCTGTGACTGAGTGTCATACTCAGCCAGATAAAATAATCAAAAAGAAAATGAAAATATTTCTCTGGTCTAAATACTATAGTACGTCAAAAATTGGATAATTTGTTAAAAGAACTAAGATTTGAAGAAATATAATATAAATATTTTAATTTTCTTCTAAATAGCAATTTTAATTTCTGCAAGGTTATACCCATTAAAAAAAACTCACAAATTTGTAAGTGGAATCTTTTAAAATTATTTAGTATGGGGAAATTCTTCAGAATACAAGGCCATTCTATAAAGATGTATCTTTAAAAAGAACAGATAAAATTATTTTAAGCATTCCAAAATGCACTCTAGCAAATATTATCAGATTGTATGAAATTATACTAGACGCTCCTACATTAAAATTCTATAGGGCCCACTGAACAGAGTAGTACTTTACTCTCGTTTGGGGGAATATGTAAAATAAAGAGAGTTGACTATTACCCGAACTCACTTCAATTATAAAACTGTGAGCAGTTTCTAAATAATACAATGACTATAGGGTTCTTACCAGTATTTACAGTTTCCTGATCAATCATGCCTCCTTCTGCAAAACCATCCAAGTCATCCACTTTAACTTTTTCCCATGGTATATAAGTTACTCCCAGATCCACATCCCAGAATTGTTTGTATTCTGTTTTTACACCTTTGTTTAAAGCCCAAGCAATCTATTGGGAACAAAGGGACAAAATAAAAGGAAAGTCTAATGTATACTTTAACAGTATAAAAAATTCAAAATTAAATTTTAATAATAGAAATAGAAATAGTTTGGACTCTGTATTAAATCTTCATCAGAGACACTATTTACAATATTTCCACTTTTTACTGTAAGTCTAAAATTATCCATTTCCAGAAACTACAACTCTAGCTTCACCATAGAAATGTTAATTTCTATTAGTAATAATTAGGATACTTAGTACAACTTAAACTAAATCTTGTATACCAAGAAAGAAGCAATCAGCAGTATTTCACAAAGAGAAACTTGATCATGAAACAACAAAAGTTTGCATGTAAGAACATATTCTAACCAGGATGAACCACTGGTGGTACATTCCCAACTCTCCTCTGGGCAGACTGTCCCAAACGGCTTGACAGGACAGTAATGCATATACCACCAGTGGTTCACCCAGCAGTGACATATATGAATTAACACCTTGTCATGAATGTGTTAATTCTCTGAAAGGTCATTTTAACACTTAAGTTACAGAAACTGATGAAATAAATTCTCTATAAATAACAAATGAATTGCAGGAAGTAATAGAAAAGCGTATTTTTTGAATTCTCAATTTAAAGATTAGAAAAAATACACTTGCAGATAATCACAGGAATATGATTTATACAAGATATAAGAGAAATTAATATTAACTAGGAAATTAGGAGATATTGGGAAGGAAGAGGAAACAAAAGACAAACTTGTAAACATCAAAGTGTTTTTTTCATAAAATTGCATCTTTCTTGACTTATAGAACTGTACAAATGTGACTCAGAACAATTGAACTGAAGTTTTGGTTATTGGACTTTATTTACCTCTATCTGATTTTGTAAATGAACAATACTAATCTAAGTTTTTAGGGTGCCTATGATAGTAAAAGAATACAAGGTTGTGGGTACAGCACAGTAGCCGTTCAAACTCAGCAAGCTGGAGGCCACAGACTCAAATCTCAGCACAAGAGAAATAGAGAAACAGAGACAGACAAAGAGAAAGAATACCTGTGATTCTTATAATAAACTTGGGCTTTAACATAATTAAGTTAAATATTGGCTGCCAATATTACAATTTTCCCTCCACATAATCTCACCTTAATGACTTTGGAACCAATTTTATATGATCCAGAACTGAGTTTCTGAAGAGCCCGAAATGCATCTTGTCGATGAACCATACACACATAAGCACAGCCCCTGGGAGGAATCATCTATTAAAAGAAAAAAGTTGGATTTTAAAAATAAAGAGTATAAGGACAGAAAATTATTATGCATCTTTACAGTTTTAGCAAAACAGAACATGTAATAATACATCAGTTCTATCTTGATAGATTATTGAATTGATATCCCCTTTATTCCTCCAGCTGTTCACTGGCACAATTCATGTACAATTAATTAATTACTCCATATAAAAAACAAACTCAAAATTCAAAACCTTTTCGTTCTCATTCCAAGCCATGATACATGCAAAATCTTCAATATTACAGGAGTTTCCTAAATACAGAACACCAACAGAAGCATCTGAGTTCATATATAAAATACCACCAGATGAAAGGGAAATATTGCATGGCCAAAGTATTCGATGGCAAATTATTTATTCCTGGCAGTATTTATGTTTTTCCAAATAATATAAAGTGTATGTGCAGAATTTGTTTTGGAGAAGTATTACATCCTTCATGTAAAATTTGTAGTCTAAAAGTGAGACTCAGTTCAAAAGAAAAACTGTCAATCTATAATTAATGATAAAACTACAATATTTCAGTTTTATTGAACTGTATTTTAGGGCCAGGGAGATGGCTCAGTGGAATAAGTACTTCCCTGGCAAGTGCAAGGGCCTGAGTTCAATCCCCAGTTCTGCACCAAAAAAAACCTCTGTATTTTATCCAACCACTTTGGGACAATTTAACATGAATACAAAAACAGCCTCAAAATAAAATTCTGAAGACTGATATATGAAGCATTTAACTATTTAGTAAACCACCAGGTCCTAAAACTATTCTCAATGTATTAATTCAGAATACTACACACATTTTAGTGTTTGAGAAACTCAGAAAGTATTCTAACCACTTATTACTCTATGTAGAATGTTTATTAATCAAAATAACCTGTCTTCAGCCTTGCTAACAGTTCAAGCTACTGTCTTTTTAGTATCAAACTTCTTAAAAGAGAACTCTTCAATCCATGGCATTCTTCTTTAACCCTTGCAATATAGCTCCAATGCATCACCAACTCAAAAATACTTTCCTGAAGCTCATCAAAGACTGGTATCATGGCCCCCCCAAAAGATTTTCTCAGTCTTCAAATTCTCTAAAACTAAGTGAATAAGTGAATAGGTTATAAATCTTTCAACTTTTCACATGCTAGACTTTACCACCACCCCTTCAGTTTACATAGCAACTTAGTGCCTCAAATGTAACAAAGGAAGACTTTAACAGCAAAGACGTGCTCAGTGGAACAAGAAAATCCAAATTTCTATTTGGATAGTAAAATGATACAAAGTCTGTTCTGTTCAAAGCAATACTTGCTGGCCGTAAATTAGAATTAGCATACCATGGCCCACTGATAAAAATTTAAAGGTATTCATCATGCACATCCCTATTTTTCAAATGAAAAAAACATATTTCTGATATGCAGAGCAAGGACTAATAGCCACTAGTTTAAAGTTACAAGAAAAAAAAAATTTCAGAGATTGTATCATGATGGACTTCGAAAGACAGCTATTTGACCCTTGACATTTAAAAAGACAAAAGCCTAGGAGAAGCCACACTCTTGGGGTAAGAGACATCTGAAATACCTAAAATCAAATAACCACCTATTATCTGGATAACTCAAAAAACCATTTAGTCTCCTCAGAGGAAAATAACAATATTTGAATTATTTAATAAGTTTTTTGTTAGGTCCGATGAAATCACATGCACTAGAAAGCTAAACAGAAAAAGTTCAGACTCAATTCAAATAAAGAGTGCTATTATTAATAAAAAGATGTTAGCCACATAAGTAATATTGAGAATTAAGATCAAATAAAAACTGGATAATTATCTGGTAAACAATAAGTAGTACAACAGACCAAAAAAAGCACAACAGCAACTAATGAAATTAGAAGACTGATAAACTAAGTCTCTTCAAACAAACATAAAACATTTCACTGTTTAGTTTTATTTTAGTATCTGCAACGTACACAATATGGGAAAGACAAGAAAGCAAACAGTATGTAAGGATAAAAACAATTTAAATGGTTAAAGCAAATTCTCAGAAAACAAAATACTCAAAGCAGTCTAAGAGCAAAATTAATGAAAGAATGAAGTTGAAGAGCAAAAGAATCATGTTAAGCTACAAACAATTCCCTGACCACAGTATTTTTGCTTTTGCCTAGCATGTACTCTGAATAAAAGGAGGGAGACTGAAAGAAAGAACAAAAACAATATTGCTTAAGAGACTAGTATCCCAAGGCCAGTTGCACATAATTCTTGGGACAGTTTCCTTACATACATTTCAAAAAGGGAGGGCCAGGAAGATAGCTCAGTAGAGTAAGTGCCTGCCTAGCAAGTATAAGGTCCTGAGTTCAATCTTCAGTACCACCACAAAAAGCAAAGCAAAACAAAACAAAACAAAACAAAACAAAAAAAGGGGAACTGAGAAGGCAGGAGAGTCAGGAAAAAAGAATCAGGATATAATATACAGGTACAAACACTCTATAATTTTTATATCAAAACTAAACCAATAAATTAATTTTCAAAAAAGTATAATTGAATTATCACACAGTCCCTACTAACTCAAACATCTGCTATTATTCAAAAATAAGGGCTACACTGCCATAAAACCTTTAAATATTTTATTAGAATTCAATTAAAAAATAAACATAAAACAATTCTTGTAAAGATGTGCGTGATGTATGATTAAAGCTTAATAATACTGAGCTTAACTACAAAGTTAATTACAGTGACTATGAGTGAAATTTTGTCGCCTTAAATAACTGTTTTAACACTTATACTTACATTAATAGATTCAATCTGTCCAAATTCTTCAAAAAGGTTAGTTAAATCTTGTTGTGTTGCCTTCTTGTCCACCTGACCAACCCAGAGGGTAGTACTACACACTAAAAAAATATGAGACAAATAATTTAAAGTTAACTGCTTCCAAGAAGCCAAGGGGAAAGAACCACTAGTAACAATAGATTAAACTTATAATATATTTAAAATATTTGTTAATATTTATTGTGTTTAAAATCCACTGAAATCCCAGGTATTCATTCACATTTCCACTCAGGGAACCCACTAGCATGTCTCCTGTTCTCAAGCTGGCTGCATACACTGAACCACCTATAGATGATGAGAGGTAGGAGGTACAGCAAACTGAGAAATGGGAGTTTTAAATTTCCTAGGTGATTACAATATGAACAAAGTTTCAAAATCATTTCCCAATGCAATCCTATCTGTGACATTTTTAAGCGTCTTTAGTTTTAAGAATAAGCGCATGTTTCTTCCTAATCAGTTAAGTCTGAAAACTGTTCTATGTTATCCTTAGGGAAATCACTAATTGACAAAGACAAAAACTGGCAAAAATCTGAATTAAAGCACTTTTAACTTAGTATCATGAAAGCCTTAAAGATACTTAACTCTCAGGATAAATCCTGAGGGGATTTCACTGACCTTATCAGACCCAAAAGCTACAACTCTTGTTGCACAGGTTCTGCTTTACCTTGGTCTTAACCATCCAGCAGAAAGTATAAAAACGAAATATAAGAAGTAAGGCCATGCTGTTATGTTTAGCTGTAGGGGACTCAGGTCAACAATTTCTGACATTGCCAGGCAAGCAGAAGACCCAATACTGTTATGGGCTACTGGACTCTTTTAGAATATTTTGCTGAATTTACACACCTATAATATTCAAATAATGGAACTTAACAAAAAAGGGGATACAGATGAATGTCCATTTTGTATCTGTGTATTCAAAGTGGCTAGGATAGAATAGTTACGTTCTCTTAATGAATAGAGGGATTTGTTCTAATGGTGTTTGTAAACAGGATATCATGTCCCCATCTTGTATAGCAATTAACCACTAGGAAGAATGTATGCAATGTGTTAATTATTGAATCTGTCCTACCAATTTGATTTGAAACTGTCTCATTGCTATTTGTTTCTCAATAAAATTAGGAAAAAAAATAAAAAAAATTTTAAAAAAGATACTTAACTATTGAAGAGCAACTTTTAATAAACACATATTAAACATAAGACACTGCCTACTTTTAGCTGTACTGTGCATACATCCATGAATACTACCTTTTTCTGAAGACATCTACTTTAAAATATACCTGACACATTTAGAGTTTTAATATACTGTATTTGAAATTACATCAATGCCTTTCTCAAAAACAAGTTTGTAACATTTTGATTATCCTAACAGGGCAGTAATTTAACCTAAACTAAAGCATGACTCCATGAAAATTACTAACAGGTCTTTCCACTCTGGCTGACAGAACTCAAGAATCTTCAAGATGTTAGATTAAGTACTTCAAAATGTTTGATAAGCACACACAGACCTCTGGTAACTGCTTTTCTCTCCTTGTCATTTGTTTGTCTCATGTGGTTTCAACCCTATTCATATATAATTAATATTCAACCAAATTTTGTCTCTCCATCTCAAGATCCTCATTTTTTAAAAATTTAAAGTAGATCCATAAAATGGGTATAGAGGCATTCACCTGTAATCCCAGTACATTAAAGACTAAGATAAGAGGATGACCTCAAATTCAAGGATAACCTGAACTAAATTGTAAGAGTTTGACTTTCTCCCCTGTTGGTGGAAGAGTACACTGGTGGTAACTACTGTGGAAAGTGGTGTAGAGATTCCTCAAAAACCTTAGAGGATCCATTTCAGCCAGCTTTTCCCCTTTTTGATATCTTCCCAGAACAATTAAAAGCATCATTCCACAAGAGACATATGCACAGCCATGTTTATAGTGGTAGAGTTTATAATAGCTAAATATTAGGAACAGCCCAAGGTTGCCCAATAACCAATGAATGGACAAAGATGTGGGTTTTTTTAAATTCTACAATAGAGTGCCACTCAGCCATAAAGAAGGATAAACTTGAGACATTTCTAGGTAAGTGCATATATCTTAGACCATACTCTAAGTAAAATATATCAGACACATGAATAAATATCACAATTATTTCTGATGTGAGAAACTAAAAGTGTAAATAAAGGAAAAGTATGTAACAGATACTGTGAAATAGGAAGAAAATGTTCAAACAAAAAAAGACACTACGGAGCAGGGAGGAAGAAAGGAAGGGAAAAGAAAACATGAAGAAAAAAAGAAAGCTTTTGTAAATACGGGGGGTAGGAGTTGAAAAAGAAGAGAATGGGGGAAAAATCAAGATATATCACATACAGGGACAAATTCTCTATGGTGAATATGATCATAATGCATACTGAAAATGTACCAATAAACTTAATTAGAACAATACAAAAAACCTTCCTTATCCCAAGTGCTGTAATAGTTCGGCTACAAAATGTCTCGCCAAACTCATGTTAAAAGGTTTGGCCCCAGCTCATAACACCCCAAGAGGTGGTGAAACCTCAGGGAAGTGGACCCTAGTGGAAGAAAGGACACAGGGCAATGTCCTTGAAATGGATACTGGCACTGCAGTTTCTTTTCTCTTTGCTTACCTGCCACCATTAGGTGAACAGGTTCCCTCCACAGCTCCTTGCTGCCATATGCCAAAAGCCACAGGGCCAAACAACATGGACCAAAACTTCTGAAACTATAACCAAAACTCTTTTTCCTCATTGAGTTGATTATCAAACATTTTGTCACACAGAAAAATGAACGGCACTCATCTATATAATGTTAATAGATGCATCTCATTTCAAATTATTGTTTATTTTTGAGGTAGGCCTTGCTGTGTAGTCCAGGGTAGCCTTGAACTATGTAGCCCAGGCTGGCCTAGAACTCAAAGCAATCCTACTGCCTCACCCTCCTAAGTGTAAAGATTACAGGTATGCACCAACATGCCCAGCTGTTCCAGTGATCTGGATGTAAATACTTTTGTTTGGCGGGAAGAGGTAATCCAACCTACCATAAACCCTACACAGATTTCTCTAGCTCTTTCAACCGTTTCTTTGTTACCCTATTCCACATATTCCAGCTGCCTTAATCTCCCCAAACATTGTTTCATGTTCTTACCTCTTTTATTTGTCAGCTGTCAATGATTATTCCCTATTGAACAATAATAATTGTACCTTATCATATGGGGAAGGTACACTTCAGTTCCTAGAGTGTCATTACTGAAGACTCACATCTCTTATGAATACACATGGAAATCCTAAATTCTAAAATCCACTAAACCCAGCAAAGTGGTGCATGTTTAATCCATAATCCCAGTACTTGGAAGGCTAAAGCAGGTGGGTCATCCTGACAGTACGAGTTATATACATAGTTCAAAGCCAGCCTGAAATAACACAGTGAGACTCTGTCTCAAAAACAAAAACAAGAAAAAACAAATTTACACTAAGGGCCCATGGTAGAGAAACACTATGACATGTGTTTCAGAGTAAGGAAGAACTGTGAGGTAAATGATGGAAGACATACTTTCACTATATTCCCTTACATGCTTTGTGAATTTTCTTTTTACCATGTTTTACTCATGAAAATAAAACAGTAACAGGAAATGAACTTCACAATATTATGTCACTAAAAAAAAATGTAATCCTGCAATTTGAAGGAATATGGATAAAACAAGGCAGACCCAAAAACGTACATTATATACTGTATATGTGCTCAGAAAATTATATAGCATCCCATAAAAATATACAACTGTTAGGGGTCAATTAAAAAAACAATAAATTTTAAAGAAAATAGGGGGGCCTGCTTCAGCTCAGTTGTTTAAGCACCTGCTTATGCAGTCAGGTGCAGGATACCGTGGTTCAATCCCCAGCTCCACATGCCTTACCAGACCCACCCTTAAGGCAGCCTGAGCCAGTCAAAAAAAAAAAATTCTTCTCAAACTCTTTCAAGTCCTCCTTTCCAAGACGACGAAAAAAAGAAGGAACGGTCGTGCCAAAAAGCACCGTCATGGGCAGCCTATTCATCAGCATCAGGGACACTTCTGAAGTGTTTTCGATGGTTATGTGCTTCCCAAGCTGTATGTGAAGCGGCATTACTGTGTGAGTTGTGCCATTCAGAGCAAAGTGGTAGAAATCGATCTCATGAAGCCCTCAAGGACTGAACTCCTCCACCCAGATTTTGACCTGCTGGTGCTGCCCCATGACCACCACCAAAGCCCATGTAAGGGGAGCTCGGTCTTAATAGACTGAAGAAAACTCTCTTGAGAAATAAATAATACACTGAATGTTATACTTTAAAATAAAAAAAAAGAGAATAGATACCATAGTCAGTATGTAGGTAATGGTAACAATTTACCCAGTTAGGTAAAGAACTACATCAAAGCAATTACATGTAAAAGCCCTATCATAACACTAGTTAATAAATTCATCATCTGAATATTCTAATGGTCATTACATAAGGAGGCACAGGATTGTGACATCATTTATCAGCCACCACTAAAAATGCTTAAATTTCCTCACCATAAGAGACAAAAAGAAATTTCCAATTTCCAAAGCAACAAATATTAATAGCAAATTAACAATAGCTCTTAGGACCTGATTAAGATCCCAGTACTTGGGAGGCTGAAGCAGGTGGGCTGTTCTAAGCTCTAAGCAAGACAGTCAATGCCCATTCAAACTGTTAAAACTCAGTAAAATGGGAGCTGCCTTTGATTTTAGCCTTGGCTTTCCAACATGCTCTTACAAGTAGAAATTAAACCATTTATCCATCTCCTAGTAGAAGGAATCTAGAGGTTCAGAACCTAGATAATATGATCAAGGTTTAGTTCTTGGCAAAGTGACAATTTATTAATCTTTGGTTTGTTAGTTTATCTTAGAAGCCATAATCTACTAAGAATATTTTGTGCAGAACTTGGCGAATTATTTTGTTATATTTAACACTGCTATCACATGAACTTGTATGTTCCTACAACAAACTCTACCATTACCAATTCTATTCTAATTACATGTAATAGATCAACATATAACAATGGAAAGTTTCTACAATAGGAATTTCTCCACTAGTACTAACACTGACGTTTACAAATTGCTTTAAATACTGTGGCAAAATATACAGGTTACATAACAACTCATGGACTTGATATTTACAAAATGTTAGGATACTATGGAATAGAAGTCACTGGTTCATAATAGTATTTATTTTTTATGAAGTCATTACTTTCAACTTGCATCACTTTTTTGTTTTTTGGTTTTTGGAGGTATTGGGATTGGACTCGGGACCTTGTGCTTGCATGCCAGGCAGGTGCTCATGCCACTGAGCCATCTCTTGGGCCCTTGCATTGTATTTTAAAAACAACTCTTGTGACCTTGCTACCTGAGCAGCTCCTTTTTTTCTCCATCATACTTAAAAAACCTCAACTAAATTACTAACTAGCTAAACAGAGGCAACTATACCCCTTTCAACTTATGTGTCAAAATAAAATTTAGATGAGAAATTTTTGTACCAGGTAGGATAGTTTTTAAATGTTTATTGAAATTAGCATTTAAATACACTACTTACCACTTAATGTTTTAGACCGAATTGGAGGTAATCCCTTTTTCTGTCGTTCTTTCTCCCTTTCTCTGGCTCTCCTTTCACTTGAGTATGAACGCGATGATTTTCTCTTTCTTTCTCTTGAGCGAGAGCGCGATCGCTTTCTGTGCTTACGCTTTCTCGAACCAGATCGTGACCTGGATCTTCGTTTTCTTGGTGATCTATAAACGAATTTTTAGTTTACTTCTAACAACAATGTTATCCTTTTACCAAATTTACGAATAGCAAGCAATGGAAAAAAATGTTTGGCTACTTATTGAAATACTTTATAGTATAATGAAGTATCAAACACGTATTTTGCTTGTATGTTGTGCTATGTACATCTACACTGCTGAGAAATGTTTAATTATTCTGAGCCTAGGTGAATTTTCAGAGAAAAAGGGACACTAAGATTTAAGAAAGGGCCTCATAGTGTCTTCCAGCAAATTTTCAAACAGAAGTCAATATGACAGAAGAAGACTGAAGAAAATAAAATGAACACTTAAGTGATAAAATGTTAAGCTCTTATCAATAGAAAGTAGAGAATGTTTCCAATAAAACATTACTATATAATTTTGCACAGAAGTTTTGTACTTCTAAATTTTTAGGGTGTTAGACTTTATGATAGCAGATGATACTGAAATAATTGCAACCCCAAAAAGAATGGCAATCATTGAAAAATCAACCAATCCCAAATGCTGGCAGGGTTGTGGGGAAAAAGGGACCCTTCACTGTTGGTGGGAGTGTACACTGGTATATGAACTGTGGAAATCAGTGTGGAGATTCCTGAAAAAACTAGAATTAGAGGTCTCATTTGACTCAGCTATTCCCCTTTTGGAAATTTTCCGAGAATTAAAAATATAAAATACAGCAATATATGTGCACTCATGTTTATTAACCGAGGAATGGATAAAAAAGAGGTACTTTTATACAATGGAGTATTACTCAGTTATAAAGAAAGACAAAAAAACTTGTGGCTTTTACAGCTAAGTAAATGCAACTAGAGGTCATACTCATGAATGAAATTAATCAGATTCACATGTGTAAACATCTTATTGTCTCCCTAGCATAAGAAATGGCAAGAATAAATAAGATCCAAAAGGCAGAATAGACATTGTGAAAGAGAAATAAACTGCTAAAAAGGATAACTGGAATGTGGGGAAGCAGAAAAGGATATACACACACACACACACACACACACACACACACAAATAGCTAAGATAATTCTACTATCTAGTAGTTCATTAAAAAGAACTATTTATGCTTTTTGACGAATCTCACATGCCTATATCTAGTAATCTGAGTAAGTACTTTAAAGATAACAATATGCAATATTAAAAACCATTGTTAATTTCCGATCATCCTGTGAAATTGTTTTATTATTCTCTTTAAAATTAAAGTTACACATAAAATAAATTCATGAGTATTATCTAAATAAAACAGTAATAATTGGCACCAACGTTAACTCTGCAGATTTTCAAGAGGGTTAATACATATTAAGAATAAATAAATAAATAAATAAATAAGGCAAATTGGACATGGAGGACAAACTCTTATAATCCCAGCACTCTTGAGAAGCTGAAGCAAGAGGATCGTAAGTTCAGACCTAGCCTGGGCAACTTAGTAAGACCATCCAACAAAATAGGTAGACAAACAGATGGACAGGCAGGACACATGGGAAGGAACAGGGAAGGAAGAACAGATGGATTCGCCACAGGCAGATGTAGCTCAATATGAAGCCCTGGATTTAATCTCTAATACCACAAGGCCGGGGTGGCGGATGAGGGTGTTAAAGACCAATGACTTTAGGTAAAACCTAAAAATGAATCATTTATAGTAAATGTTCCATAATGTGCTATTATACTTAATATCTGTATAAATTATTTTGTAATTTAATTTTTCAGGCAATTTTAATATTACTATGATATTAACTAGAATGAAAGATAATTTAACAGTTGTTCAGAAGTAATAACATCTTAATACTAAAATCAATTATCAAAAATGCCAGTTTTATGATACACCTGCCACTGTTACTCAAATGGCACAGACATATCTGATAAACATTAACCTTCAAATGTTAAGTTATTCAAATGGCAGAGACATACTGATTTTTAAAAAAGATTCCCTTGTTTTAGCTTTCAAATTACAGTCTAAAAATATTAAGTTTCAAGAAAATATTTCTTTAAATCTTGATGCAAAGAAAGCAAGCCAACATTTTTAAGTTCACACACAGGTACTGTTAAATATTACTGTACAACCTTGAACGAGATCGTGAATGAGTCCTTGATCTCGAACGAACAGCCACTTTCTTAGCTTCCTGTTCAAAGACTTCCTCTTGCACACCATCTTGTCCTTCATCTATATCCATATCCTTGAAAGTCAAAAAGGCAAGCAAAAGTATTAATAATTCTTCCTTTAAACAAGGAATGAGTGAAAACAGATTCAAAAGCTAGCATACGGAGCTTGTATAGAAAAGGAGAGAGAACGAATGAACATTTAGAACATGATCACTATTCATTATTTTACATGATTTCTTAAAATAATTTTAGAAATTTATGACTCAAAACAGTACTTACCTGTTGTTGAATATCTATGGAATCATCCAAAGTTGCCTCAGGTTCCAGAAAATGTTGCTGGCTGCTACCTTGTGAAGGTGACACAGAATGCTCTGACCCAAATGTTCCCTCTTGACTATCCTGAGGTGTTGCCTATTAGAAAAAATGCCAATATTGGGATACACTTTTATTACAAACAGAAATTTAAATACAATAAATACAATAATTAAATGTTTATAAGACACATTATAGAAATTTCATGTTAAGGGCCATAGAGATAGCTCAGTGGTCTAAGCACACGTCTGACAAGCATAAGGATCCAGGTTCAATCCCTGGCACTACCTGCTGTGCCAGCCTGGTGCCAAGACAGTCACCAAGTCTGGGCATGATTGCTCATGCCTGTAATTTCAGCACTGGGGAGGCTGAGACAGAAGATGAGTACAAGTCCAAGCTGTGTAGTGAGACCCTGTACCAAACACATTAATATGTGTATATATAAGTGTGTATGTGTGTAAATGCTAAATCATTCATAAAGTAATAAAATCTAAAATTACAATTTTATATAAACCCAAGTTTACCTAAAAGCAAGAAACATTTTTCTATTATTTGCATCAATATTCAAAGTACAGAAACAGCTGTGTCTGAAGTTTGCTATACTTTCCAGCTATAGCACCTATCCCCTCTCAAATACACCCTAAATCCTTCACCTTCATTATAGAAACTACAATTTTGCTCATGTTTATAAACTTATGTGGCTCCAGCAGGGAAAAGTATACTTGAGGCCAGAACCTCATGTAATCACTTTTCTGTTCACTTCTGTACATATTACTTGCCTATGACTGATTTGTCTGTACTTTAAAAATGTTTGTGGAATGGTCTTAAGTTTCCTCATTTCTCCAAATTTTTATTAGCAAGTTTACTGCAGGAATTTTCTAAAAACAGTTTACACTTAAAAGTATTTCTCATACAAAACAGAACTAAACTTTGTAGTAGATTGAATCTTGGCTCTACAACTGGACACACTAGTCAATTCTAGGGTATAATCTCTTTTCTTATTTCATTATCTGTGAAATTTAAAAGATCTTCACCAGAAAAAAAAAGAATGTAACAAGTTAGCTGAAGTATGTTCAAATTCTCAGCTACGTACAAAAGCTATATACTTTTGCTCACACCTGTAATCCCAGCACTTGGGAGACTGAGGCAGTAGGAGCGCCACAAGTTTGAGCCCAGCCTGGACTAAACAGAGAACTCAAGGCCAGACTGAAATACAGACACTCCATATCCAAAAATAAATAAGATAGAATAAAACAAAATAAAAGGCCACCTCAGCCTTCTGATTTCTACTTCCAGAATAATGAAATTTAAGTGTATGTATCCATAAAATTGCCAGAACACAATCTGATTATAGAAAAACTATAAAGAAACTGAGAAGATTAATTCTCAGCAATAAAAACAAAGAAATAGCATCATACTTCAGAAAGAAAATAAAGTGCCTGGTGAAAGCTGAAACAGATGAGAAAATAGTCTATTAAGTTAAAAAGCAAACACCAACCAGCTACCCCAGGAAAATCCAATTCACAGAGTAAAACAACAATAACTCCAAAGACCACCAGATGGGGTTACAAACCTTCTGTGGTTGTTGCTGTTCCAGAAGCTGCTGTCTGAGATGTTCAAGGTTTTGCTGTTGTAGTTGCTCTGCTATCTGATGAAAAATGGAATTGTTCACTGATTCTGAAACATGAGAACTAAAAAGAAAATAGGAAGAAATATATTTTTAACACTGCTTAATGATAATATAAATCAAGTGCTCAAAGACAAACAAATCTGCCAATATGATAAAATACAATGTCTGCTTTTCAAATATTAATGCCCAAATGGAGTTGCTTAGAAATACTAAAAGAAATGTGTTCACTAGTGTTTCAACACATAGACACCATATCATGTTAGATACTATTAAAGATCTCATATTACTATCTCATACTATTAAGTGTTAAGAAGTTAGTAAATTTTATTAGAGCTAAGAAAAACTCGAAACAGTTAAAGTATTTAAATATTGTAGTTTTAATTCCTTCTATAAATATGAAAGTGGTAAAAATGCTCTATCAACCATTATGAGTAAGATCCACAAGTGATCATAAACCTCATAAAATATGCTTGTTTTAGAAAAATCACACATGTTACTCAGTATATTACCAGAAACAGCTAACTATATTTGAGTACACGGACACCTGCAATTCTGGGTGCCAAAAGGTAAGACATGAACCAAAAAGAGGACATCCGTAAAGGGGTAGTCTGTGTAGTGAGAAGCCCTCAAACAGTTGTGGAAACATGTACCTCACCTGAACACATAAACCTAAGGGGAAGAATGACACCTATCTTCAAATATTCAAATGCTGTCAAAAGGTAACAGAGTAAATTTGTTTCCTTGCTTCAAAAGCAAAGCTTGAATCAATGTGTAGAAAATAAAGGAAACAGGATTCAGTTCCACAAAAGAATATACAACAATAATAATTGAAATTCATGTCTCAGAAGACCATTAAGATATTGGGTACTGGATACATAATGACAAGTGGTTACAGTCACACATTTAGGATACTGATCTGTATGATCTCAAATGTGCCTTCCAAGTTCATAATCTAAAATACTAGTTTTTAATTTTAAATGAAAATTTCCTTTAATAAGAGGATGTATTTGTAATTAATCTATTCTATGATTGTGTATATTTTACACATTAACCTAATACATAAAACTAATAATCTGTTGAAATAAGAGTAAAGGCTTTTATTGTTTATATTCTCTCTTGACAAATTCTACCTCCCAATCTCAACATCCTCCTTGCACTGTTTTTTCATATACAATACCTTCTTAAAACCTACAACTGTACAGAACTGTTGGAGGGGATCACTGATTTAAGTAACACAGAATCCATCTCTTCACATCCCTGTAACTCCAACCTTTACTTCTGATTAGTTTATGTACTTCATATAATTTGATATGCTTCCTAACATTTGACCCTGGAACTAGGCCCAAAACTTTCTTTAAAGGGTTAAATAAGGAAACAGAAATACTGAAAATACCACAACTAGATTTTTTAATATTCTTGTAAGAAATTTTCATGTATTCTACTTGCAAAGATGTGAAAAAAGAATCCTAGAGACAACAAGAAAACAATTCTTTTTGTAATGTACAGTTCAACGACCTCTAATAACCTCAACTTATTCAGAATATACTCAATAGGGCAGGGATATAGCTTAGTGGCATAGCATGTGCCTGACAAGTGTAAGGTCCTCAGTTTGAGTCCCAGTGCCCTCCCCCACCAAATAAAACAAAGTAGACTTAATAGATCAGATAGCAATATTCCACCCAATTATGTATAAAATACAAAGAAACTATGGTTATAAAGAAAAACATAATTCTTACAGTTGAGGAGTTGGAATTTCCTTTTTGGGTTCTTCATTATGCTCAGAATCTTCACCAAAATCAAATCTATCCATCAACTTCTAAGAGCAGAAGAAAGGGAGAAATTAGTAAGTGCTTCATACATAATATAAATTACAAATGCTATTTTATTTATTTATTTTTGTACTTTAGGGAAGGGTCTACAGGGTGTTCAGCATCTCACTACTAGATTGTACTTGTAGTGATCTGCCTGTTTACAGCCTCCCAAGAGTTGGGATTACAGCCACACACCACCACAGCATGCCTGCGGATTGAACCCCTGGTCCCTGCGCCTGCTTGCAGGCGCTTTAATCTGCTGAGCTATTTGGCTGGCCCTGCAAATGCTATTTTAAATGTCTCATTAGTTTATCTCTATCATTTAATATAAGTGTTATCAATCATTTTATACAATAAAGTATGGTGAGTGGATCTTTTTCTTTAAAGCACTTTGGTATGTACCTTATCCCCTATTATGCACTGTTTCCATTTCTGCAGTTTCCAATCAACTGTACCTGAAAATAGTTTGTCTGACTTGAGAGACTGTATTTATGTAATCTTTATTACAGTGTACTGTTGTATTTTTAAAAATTGTTAATTTCTTACTGTGCCTTATTTTGTAAATTAAACTTCATATTAAGTATGAAAAATCTGATAAATTTCTGCTTTCACAGGAAAGTTAAAAAAATACATACAGGAAAAAAACATTACATGTATACGATTTCGTACTATCTGCTGTTTCTGGTATCCACTGGGGTCCTACAATGTCTATTCTGAGAATGACATGGTATTAGTATCATATGACAGTAGGCAATGTACACACTAATGTGACACATGCAACATAAACACTAATGTTCTAATTTTACAGAAGAAAATACAAAGGATTAAAGTAATTAGGTAGCTTTCCCATAGTAATACAGCTTGATAAAACACCTAGGACCATAATCACTGGATCGATTCCTAGTATAATTCTCATCGTAAAATGTTGCTTCACTATCTTTAGAATGCTCAATTTAAAGGCTTTTTTTTTTTTTTTTTTTTTTTTTTTTTGTAGTTTAGCAATTTTAAAGGCAGACAAAATTAGACTTAGAAGCCACAGGCCAAAAAAGTCCAGGTAACAATCCAACAACTCAAATTTTTCTACTTTCCTATGAAAGCCAAAATTAAAAACATAAACACTACTTCTAAGGTAAAATAGTCATAATTAATAAGCATACTTAGAATATCACATAACACATTATAATTGAAGATTTTCAATAGTAAACCAAGAAACGGAGGAAAAAAGGGTAGGAGATAAGTAAAAACATTCAAATATACTATACATAGGTATCAAAGGCCCATGATTAATGTACCCATTACATACTGCAAATCTATAATAAAAATGAAAACTTAAAAAAAAGATAAAAACACTGTCTTTATACTTCAACTTATAATAGTACAGCAACTTGCTAACTTGTTGAAGTTTCACATATTGAAAAACTGAACTTTCACATATTGAACAATTTTAACTTCAGATTAAAATTAATTTGAACACCACAATTAATTGTAATTATAGCATCCACACCATGAATTTAAAAAACAATAACTTGTTTCAAGAGAAATACACTACCCATTTATCTTTAATCAAAAGTACGTTTTAAATATTCCAAGAATTTAAAACTTACTTTCATAAGTTTGAACCATTTATAAAATGTAGTTTTATACAGTAGTGATATTAAGTATGTGATAAAATGTAACTATAAAATTAGAACCCACAAATTTACCAAGATTTAACATTTCATACAGAACAGAAATGATATTTTAATCAATACCTTGTTAAAAGAGACTCCCTGTTCTAAGGGAGTAAGTGTGTTCGCTGCTGCAGCTGCAGCTGTAAGCTGTGCAGTAAGCGCCTGCAACTGAACCACAAGTCCAGCATCCAGGGCCTGCAGGATGGAAGGTTGGGGCTTCTGCTGTTGTATCTGTAAAGTCTGTATTAACTGCTGAAGCTGGAGTGGAAAAATTATTACAAAACAGGTGTTAAATTTTATTCATAAAGATGCCATTTACAACTTTTAGTCAATAAAGTCATTCTACACAAACTTTAACAATCAAGATTTATATGCATATTTAACAATACTTTACAGTGCTACTGTAAAGTGAGAGATTTTAAACAAGCAGTCATACCATAAAAACAAAAAAATCCTTCACAAATTGACTGGCATTTTCCATTATTCTTTGCATTCCTTTTTCAATCAACTCTATAAAGGGATGTGTACTGACAAATAGCACCATTCAGATTTACCATCTGAAAACATACTTTCTGAAAGAGACCAATTAAGAAATCTGTTCCTTGGAATAGAGTCTGAGACTAAGGAAATGAGTTATTAATGATGAATACTGTTAACCATACTTGAAGACAACTCATTTCCACTATTTACTCACACTTCTTAAAAAAATACACAACAGTAAGATCTTTAGAAATCCATAAAGAAGAAATCCTTACATATATCACAGAATTAATAACAGTTTGAAAATAAAACGTAACAGGTACATTAAGTTTGGTTTGGTAGGAAGAATAAACTAATGTTCCATAGTAGCACAAGACAACTATGACTGTATATATTAAAATGTTACACTTAGTGTTCCACATACGAATGATGTAATATTAATTAAAAATATATTTCAAAATAATTTCAAATAATTCTTAAAAGTTCCAAATAAAATAGCAAAGCTACTGATAGTCACAAAATCTGATCATATAAAATAAAATCTGTATTTAAATTCAACTTACAGGATGAATGACAAGGCATAAATATCATACATGATGAAAGTAAATAAAATGTCATGCCCACTGTAATTAATTTAGCATTAGGAAAGAAAAAGTTGTGTATCAAACATTAGAAAGAACAAAAACACTAAATTTTTTTTTTTTTTTTTTTGGGCAGAACCGTAAGTCAGACCCTTGTGCTTGCCAGGAAAGCGTTTATTCTATTGAGCCATCTCCCCGGCCCCATAAAAACACTATTAATGTGGTAATAAAATACAAAACTACATAAAGCTCCAGAACAACTATAACCAAAAAATACAGAAGACACAACAAACTCTAAATCCTTATGAGGAAGGAAGAACAGGAGAAAGTAAGAGGGAAGGGAAGAAAAATGCTATCTTTCTTCTTAAATATTTTCACTATTCCTCTTGACAATTTCATTTGTATAGCTGTTGCTTCAATAGCCCAAGTCCCAGATCACCACAGTACTTATCCCTCTACAAGGACTTCATGTTTTACTGATTACTGCTGTATTGACCTTCTGTACTATTTCTTTGGGAAAAAACAGAAATTGCTGTCTTAATAGCTTTCTTTGTGTGATTTCCTCTGGAAAATTCTGTCAAGTTATTAACAGATTGTTAAAATGAAAACATCTGCTTTATGATTTTAAATATCATGCATGAAATAATGTTACCTACAGAAGACCCAATGCTATTATGGGCTTCTGTACTCTTTTAGAATATTTTGCTGAGTTTACACACCCATAATATTCAACAACGGAACTTAAAAAAAAATTGGGGTATAACTATGAATGTCCATTTTGTATCTGTGTATTCAAAGTGGTTGGGATAGATATATAGTTGTATTCTCTTAATGAATAGAATGATTTTTTCTAATGGTGTTTGTAAGTAGGATCACAAGTCTGCATCTTGTACAGCAATTAACCACTAAGAAGAATATATGCAGTGTATTATTTGTTGAAACTGTACTTTTGATTTGAAACTGTCTCATTGCTATATGTTTATCAATAAAACTTTGAAAAGAAAAAAAAATAAAGTTTCTAATACTAGAAAAAAAAAATGAAATAATGTTACCTAATATCCAGATCATGTTTGTTCTCTTAAAAATAGAGAAACCAGGTTCAATATAACTTTACACTGAATTGATTTTATATTTGTAAACATCTAAAAGGTCTCCATGTTCTTAAGGTGTCTTTTCATACAATATCCAACCTTACTATTCTTTAAAGTTGTCACATTTCTTTCAGTATCACTGCTGCAAAAAAGGAAGACTTTATTTGTAGACCTTTATACTCTCCAACTCATATACTGTTTCAGATCATGTGACTTCAACATAAAAATCCCTGTCAACTGACCATGAATCCCATGTTTCTCAGCCTACCTTTTATTGCTTTCAAAGCCTGTAAGACTGCCTTTTCAACTCTTACTGGTAACTTACACAGTCCATCCTCTAGGCAATTCTAAACTATCTCTTGTATATACAACACTGATAAACCCCTGCATGTCATTCATTCTACAACAAAGTACTGAAACCTACCACGCAGACCAACAGCAATAAAAAAAAGACAAAAATCCAAACCAAGACAACTCATATTTCAATATGGAGAAAGTATATACAATTACAAAACAAGTCAACTACATAATGTTACAGATGGTAATATGAGCTAAGAAAGGTAATAGGCAAATGAGAAAGGGAGAAGTGTAAGGAAGGACCTGGGTATGGTGGTGCCTGCCTGCAATCCCAGCACTGGGGAAGCTGAGGATGCAGGATCACAGTAAGTTCAAGACTAGTGAGTTTGCCTGAACTAACCTATATAGCTAGGCTACATAGCAAGACCCTGTCTCAGGAAAAAAAAAAAGGAAGGAAGGAAGGAAGGATAAGTACAGTTTCAATTCTAAAAAGTCAGGCCTCATTATGGTGACATTTATATGAGGATATATAGGCAACTGAAACCTTATGAATATGTGGAGAAAGAGTTCTCAATATAAGAAACATCAAGTGCAAAGATCCTGAGCAGTATTAAAAGTAATATACGTAAGGAATAACAAAACTGTAGCTGAGGTGGAACACACTACTCTAGCAGGGTAAATAAATGATGAAGGAAAACAAATAATATGATGAAAGAATCAACAAGTAAAGAAAACAGTACCATTTGTTTAAAGAAATCACTCACTGGTGATGGGAAATATTGACAAAAGAACAAGAGATCAACCTGAGGACAGACAAGATACAGTGAAGGGACTCTTAGAATGAGACATAAGACAACTGAGGAAAGAGAATAAATGAAGAACAATATGAGAATATAGGGGTCGGGGAGATGGCTCAGTAGAATAAGCCTTCCCTGGCAAGCACAAGGATCTGAGTTCAATCCCCGGTTCCGAGAGAAAAAAAGAAAAGAGAATACAAGTATTACTTTAGAGAAATACATGTACCAGTAACAAAATGTTGGAAAAATTAACAGTTATGCTGAGAATACTTATAAAAGTTGAATTTTATGCTATTTCGGTACATTTATGAGCCCAGGTATAAGATACAGAAGGCATTTTATTCTTTGAGACAGGGTCTCACTCTGCAGTTCAAGCTGGCCTCAAACTCATGGCAATCCTCCTGCCTCGGCCTCCCAAGTGCTAGGATTACACGCATGTGCCACCATGTCTGGTTTAGAAGGCCATTTTTAAAAATGTTGAGGGGGAAAAAAAAAATGGCTCCAAAAAAAAAAGTAAGGATAGTAAATGCCATTAAGAGATTCTATCAATAGTTCAAAATTATAGACTGAACAATATGGTAACAAATTACAAAAGCAAAAAAATCTAATAAACATAAATCTAAAATGAGCAAAAGCATAGTAAGATATGCAGCAAAAATGAAATTTAAAAAAATTATGCGAAAGTACTAAACTTTGTGTTTTTTTTTTTATTTATTTTTGTGTGTGTGTGTGTGTGTGTGTGTGTGTGTGTGTGTGGCCAGCTCAGCCCACCAGGGGGCGGGGCTGGCTGGCATGTGGTGCTGGGGGATTGAACCGCGGTCCCTTGCTTTGCTAAACTTGTTCTAAGTAGGTGCTTTAGACCACTGAGCCATCTCACCAGCCCTAAACTTTGTGTTTTGAATCATAAGTATTTATTAATAACATCTCATCTTCTGGTCCATTATTCAAACGGAAAGCAAACTATTTTAGGGCTTATTTGATGTCAAGCTCACTAGTACTGTCACATCAGGGACAATTTTCTTTCATGCATCTTTCAACAAACTTTTGCTGGGACTTGCAATGCATGACAGTCTGTGTTTTGTGCTGGGATATCTAAAAATCACAAATATCTCTGGCCTCTGAAATCTTAAGTGTTAATAGAAAACTTAAGTTCAACATTTAAAAAATTGCACTGCATAAATACAATCAAAATAAAAATTAGAAGTGGGAGAAGAAAAAAACCCAGCATTTTAGAAATTTGAAGTAGAGGTAATGACTTGGCTTAAGTAGTTGGTTTATGGAAAGTTCGATGTATAATTAATGATACCATTCATTCTTTTTGTTTTTCATATCTCAACAGAGTTGCCTCTTCTTTTTCACTAATGGGATCAAAATTAGGTGTTTTTTGTTTTTGTTTTTGTTTTTGTTTTTAATGTATTTAGTACAGGGTCTACAGGGCTTCACAACACAGATCAGACTCATGGTGATTCTCTTGTTTTCAGCCTCCCAAGCACTGGGATTACAGTCAGGCGCCACAACGCCCAGTCTCAGTTGCCATCTCAGTGCACCCTGGGAGTGGGGCTGACACTGCGTGCTGAGGATTGAACCTCAGGCATGTTAATCCACTGAGCTATCTGGCCAGCCCCAAAATTCGTTTTTAAATTTTGTGTGGAAATAAGTCTTCTTTGTTTTTTTGAGAGAGGGTCTCACTATGCAGTTCAGGCTAGCACTGAACACACTATATAACCCAACATGGCACTGAATTTGTGGCAATCCTCCTGCTTCAGTCTCTAGAGTGCCAGCATTAGAGGCTTGCATGAGCACGCACACGGTTGAAATAAGTATTCTTTATTAGGGGCACAGTCTGCTTTTCCCATATGATAGTGTTTTCATCAGGCTTTTAAAATTTTATCAAGATAGTAACAGTTTGCCTTAAATGCTTCAGCCAGCAAATATAATCACTTATATTACCAAACTTTTTAATCACTGTTTAGCATTACAATCCTAATCATACATCCACATACAATACACTTCTCTGAGACAATGCATTTAAATTATCTATTAGTTTTGCTTTGAAATATAAAATAACTGCACCTGTTTCGCAGCCCTACCAAGATAGGTCCATAATTTATATTTCACTTATTCTCAATTATTTCTCCATTCAGAAATGCATTTCTTTTTTCCTGTTCTGTACAGTGCAATTTGAATGACTTCTGCCTGTAGATAAACTTAAGCCAAAACCCTCAAGGGGTTGGTATGTTTTAGGAGATTTTTATTACCCTTTTCAATTCTATTCTTGATTTTTTAAAATAAAATTCAGTCATTCTACCTACAGAATCTCAAAAAAAAAAAAATACAATAATGTTTCTTAAAATTTCTTGAGAATAGAACTAGCATAAGAGAAATATTTTATAGATACTTACATTGAGAATAATTACCATTAACTGCCAATGACATATTTTAACTAGAAAATTAAGGAAAAATAATGATTTTTAAAACTAAAGAGAAATTACAAGGGCCAGCCAAACAACTCAGCAGATTAAAGCAACTGCAAGCAGGCACAGGGGGTGGGAGGTCACAGGGGCCTGCTATGCCAGCCCCGCCCCCAGGGGCGAGCTGAGCTGGTGGTTGAGACTGGGCGTGGTGTTGCGCCCCTGTGATCCCAGCACTTGGGAGGCTGTAAACAGGAGAATCATAGCACTGTAATGCCAACACTTGGGAGACTGTAAACAGGAGAGTCTGATCTAATAGAGAGACCCTGAACAGAAAAAAAATACAGGACCCTTCCCTAAAATACAGGGGGAAAAAAAGAAATTATTCTGGGATTGGCCAGAGAAAATAAACGTTCTACTAAGGTACTCACAGAAATAAACCTAAGAAATATAAACAAACTATATACATTTTACCAAGTTTAAGATACAAAAAGATATGCATGATGAAAATATGGTGCATGCCTCTAATCTTATTCTGGCCAACAGAGGCATGAAGACAGCAAGTTGGAATCCTACCTGGGCAACTTTTCTGACCTAAAAATACCCCGTGTCAACATGAATACAAGAAAGAAAAACAGCTGGGGTTATGATTCAGTGTGTCCCTTAGTTCAAGCCCCAGTACCCAGTACTACAAAAAAGGGTAAGTACAATGAAATTACAATTATAACGCCAGGAATCTTTTCCATCCTTCAAATCAACTCACAGATGTAGTACAATCCCCCTCTATTCTTGATGTTGCAGCCTTAGGAGCTTGTTTTCTATTCCTACAATATGCACTGCTTTCCATCTTAGGAAGTTAACATGTAACAAATCTGCTTCCTATCATCCTAAGCATGACCAGCTCTATTTCAAGTCTCAATTCAGATGTCACTTCTTCAATGATAGCTTGTCATGGTCCCCCTCTCTAAAACTACTCTTTCCTCTAACTTGGCCATATTTTCATTTTTTGAAATTGTGTGTCTCGCATAAGACACAAGACCACAACATCTTTGCTACTGGGATAGCAACAATACTCAATGCTGTTTGGCATAAATTATATGCTCAGAAATCAGCTAGTGTAGAATGGAGACTTCTATAAAAATCTTTAATGATACTAAAGTGTTCATGATGATTTTTTTAAAAAGGAAGTTACAGTGAAATATGTATAATACTATTTTTATAAAACCAAACACATTACATTAGAGAATTCTAAATCACTCTTGTCATATAGGAAGGCTGCTCACCTGTTGGCCTTGAGGACTTTGTAAGATCTGAGCAACAGCAGCAAGTGTATCTGTGTTTGTTATTTGAGATACCCATGGATCAGACAGGCCTTGGACCACATTGGCTGGAGTAACAGGTGTCACTGGAGTTCCTTTCAAAGAAGACATCCCAACCCCCATAAATACGTAAATGAGACTAGCAAAAACAGAAAAATCTGTTCTAGTATTTTAATGAAATATATACAAATTTATATAAATGTTTTCATTTTATTGTCTCTATTTTGAAAACACAATTAAAATCCTTTGTATAATTCACTAAATTTATAAAATACATCTAAAAAGGCCCTGAAAGAATTGCTCCACACGGGTCCTTGATAAGCTAAGCCACTATTTAATCTACCATACTTTGCAGCATTAAAAAAGAAAATTTGTTAACATGAATAAAACACATCCTTTGATGAAAAAAAGTATAGGACAGAACGTAAGTATAACACAAAGCCATTTTTGTTGAAACTCTATATACATATACATGCACAAGCAAAATACAAACACATAAAATGCTAACAAATTTAGTTTTTGAGACTGATTTTAAAAAGTCATCTAAATAGTCCAAGAAAACATTATTTTGAAAATATTATCGATTAGTTTTCATTAAAATGTTTTTAGCATTGTTTACATAAACTGCAAAATGATTTAGATGCAAATGTAAGGATACCAAGAGCCTAGATCTAAAAAGACCTAACTGGCAAATCTATTTTTCTCAAATTTATTATGTTTCTAAGGATTCAAAAAAAAGTTTTCAAAATTCTAGAAAGAATTATATGAAAATACATCTGCTTTTATTTTTCCTTTTGAATTACATTTTGATAATCTAATGTTAAACATACTCTCCTGTACTGTCAAATTATTTTATAAATGAACAATCTTATAAAAATACGAGTAGAAAAAAAATTGCAAGTAGAATACTGAGAGACAAATCTATACTGTAGTAACATACCTGGAGTATTGCTCAGAGCAGTAGTGGTACTGGCCAGAACAGGCGTGACAACTGGAGGAGGAATCCCTGCTGCCATATCCAAAAGAGGCTGAATGATTTCACTCTTGAATACATTGTTCTTTTGCCACAAGTTTAATACTCTCACTATTTTACTCTAGAAAAGAAAAAAATGACATCTTGAGATTTGGCTTTCAAAAGCAATTGTATACAGGATGGAGACATCTGACTGGAATAAGGAGACTGAAGTACTTCTACGGTACTTTCTACCTCTCAAATTCTGCATCTACCACGCTGTACTCGCAAACCTTCACTCACCTGAAAAACCATGTTAATTCTGTAGCTATATAAGACAAAGGTCAACTACAGTTGGCTGAAGGTAAGAATGACAAGCAGGCTCCATCTGCTACATGTGTCAATTCTAATATGCCTGACAATATGGATGCCTCAAAAAACTCTGAAAGAAGGGTTTCAAAGCAGTGTTAAGATTTAAATGTCATAGCTACATTTAAAGTTGATTGTAATCTTGCCTCATATATAATGCTTATCTTTCAAACACACAACTAACGGCAGGACAAAATCCTCACCTAATGTGACCTGCTTGTTACTGATAAGCCAACTTGACATCTCTCAACCATCTCTTCCTTGATAGATCCTTTAACTGCAGCACTACATTCATTTAGTTTACTCTGCTTCCCCACAAGTCTCAACACTGCCCTCATTTCAGGTACCACCATACACATCAAATTTTTGTTTTACTCTCACACTTTTCTCATTACTTAAGTATTCAGAGTACTTCCGAGTTTTGGCCAGCTTTCAGTTAGCCATATAACATTCATGCAGCTATCTACATAACCTTTCTCATTAATTACAGTCTTAGGGCAACTTTATCAACACATAAAAATGTTTTTTAAAACTCAGTTTCCTCATTTATAAAAGACAGTGTGTCAAAAGGTTTTCCAGGCTCCTTTTCTCAATTTAAAACTGAATCAAACTGTTAAAGCCAAAGATTGTCTTGTTAGTTATAACTCTTCTTGAAGCAGTCTATAAAATATTTCAATTTAATTAATCTTACTCCAAAAAAAGATTTCATACTGCTGCCTATGTCTACTATTATTTTCAGTATATCATAACGGTAAAAAGCCGGGGTATTACTGGCTTCTACTTGATAATCTGCACTGTTGAGAGAGAACTTCAAGACAAGAAAAATCCCTACTTGTTTCTCTCTTGGTTTTGTAAGTTTCTGAGATCCTGAAAGCTGCAAATTTATAGACAGAAAAACAGGCTCAACAAAGAATGTCTCAAGATATTCCACACTATTTTGCAAGAAACACCTACTGGTCTGCCCACCACACTTGCCTTCTTGAAATACAAGTATCTCACCCAGAGTCATTCTAATAATGTCCTTTACCTGCACGCCACAAGTAAAAGTACAATGGCTGCGTAATAGCCATTTCTTTAATACTATCATGATACTATTTGATTTACAATTGTAAACAAGAGTTGTAGCTGCTTTTATTGTAAGACTACTCAATGTATCAAGATAAAAATGTAAAAGAGGCTATTTCAAATTATTAAAAATGCTAGTTATGTGTAGATACTTCACAATAAAGATGTGCTTCATCTTTAAATTCCTCACATTACAATGTACTTTTAAATTTTACTCAAACCACATTATCATGCAAATTCTGTATTTCAGATAAATGGCAAAAAAAATTACACAAACATTTCAACATTGTAATTTGACTATTTCTTCTGCATAAAATGCTTGTGCTGTAACTCAAGTGCAGACAGCTTGCCTAACATGCTCAAGGCCATGAGTTCAATCCCCAGCACCATAAAAAAAAGCGTACACGCATACAAAGTAGGTGCTTAGAAATTTCATATATTCTTTTTCCCTATATAAAAATCTTTCCATTTCTAAGACAATCACGTTCTTCAAAATAATCAGTACCTAACAACTATCATTTACACATCTACATTCCAACAATGTCTCTCATTTATTTACTGGGGTTAAAGCATTAATGTAACTATTTTACCTATGATTTTTTTAAAAAAAGCTTCTATTCTATACATGCTATTGTAAATGATACCAGAGTATCAAAACTACACATTTTAGTTCACTATAACGGAAATAAATCTATGCCTCATTTAGTAACAATCCTAAACCAAAGTGCTATTTTACTCTGTTTTTGTAAAATTTCAAATTAGTAACATTTCAGATGGGACTATATGCCTATTTTATGACTCAATTAAGATAGGTCACTTAAAATTTCAAATATTCATTTAAGCTGCATGTAAGTATGAAAGTATCAAAATTAAAAGGCAAAAATTGGCTCAAGAATTATATCCAAGAGCTCATAAAAATACTATTATAAATTTATCTCTGTATCCATCCCAACAAGATTTTTTTTTTTTATTCAAGTCTATAGAACAATTAATAAAACTACCTAATCTTGTCCTACTTAAAATGAGCTGAAAGCTTTGTGGGGAACTTTCAGGTTCTGTAGTTCTTTCTACAACAACGATTATTAGGTTTAACCCATTCTTGCCTTTTCCTTGTTTATCAATACTGCATTCAACTCTCAAGAAACACATTATCTAAATCTAAATCATCATTCAAAATAACCTAGTATCATATGACAAATATAAGGATAAATTCATTTTTGCTCTGCCTTTGAGTTCAAAGGTTTTTTATATACTAATTACAGAGTATTTACACATTCAGATCTACCAGACCAGACCCAGGAAAGTTTATTAAATTGTACCATAACCAAAGAATTTTTGTATGCAGTTATTTTCTATTAACTGCTTGGCAAATCCACTTTTCACAAATAATAAAAAGGTAAACATCAACTCAAATCATATAATCATATTCCTGAATTGATTGTATGTGTAATCATTGTATGTGTATCTAATGTAATTCTAAAAGCTCATTTAACTAACTTATTTAATAGCATTGTTCCAACAAATCAAAAAATTACAAATTCAACTATATCTTTCTAGTCTCCAAGAAATTCTAGAAAAATATGGTAACAATTACTCAAATTCAAATAGCATAATAACGTAAACCACATATTAAGAAAACCTAAAGATGGTAAATAAAACCAAGAGGATAATGTGCTTCCTTAACAGCATACCTTGTCATCCCCAGGGCAACGATACAAATTCTGGAAAGTGCTAATGATGTTATTACTAAATCTGGGTGCAAATACATCCTTTTCTTGACCAAACTGATGTCGGGACTGTCGCACAATGGAGTCAATAACATAAAGTCCAGGTACCTTGTATTCTGGTTTACACTGATGAGAAAAAGAAAAGTGGGAAAGGAAGAAATAGATAAGATTCTTGATAGACAAAAATCATCACAAATCCTATGTAAATATGAAAATATCATTCATCCTGCAATACTCAGACACTCCACACCATGTTTCTGGAATGTCATTTTACAGGATCTACTTTCACTGCTCTGCACATTTAGTTCAACTGCCAGTTACCCAAGTCCCAAAACAGTTATGCATAACTGGCTTCAATAAAATAGCAACAGTATCAAAAAAAAAAAAAAAAAAAAAAAAAAAACCTGAGGTTTTGTTACAAACACTAAGGTTTGTAACACTTTATTATTGCTCTAATAATAACTGCCTAATGATTTACAAAAGTTACATATATGTAAGAGGACTCCAGAAAATATCTTGCCAATAAGCCTGATGTTTCATTTGAAACATGTATCAAGGTTTATACAAATAAAGAATACCAAATAGCAAATTATGATATTCTATGTAAATACACTGAACAGGGACAAAACACTATCACTAGAATTTTGGGAATCCATCTTATAAAAATATTTTTTAGCTATTCCCCTGTGTCAGTGTTTCTGAACTATCTTATGCATTGTTCATTTTGTGGGATATACATTGTCCTTCACTTTCTTACAACACACTTTCTAGCCTATATAGTTATGTAAGTACAAGGATGCATCCTTTTACTCTCCAGCTTACTGCTATTTTGTGTCCATAAAGAAACCTCTTCTAAACCATAATTTAATTAAAATAAAATTACAGCTGGAAAGCAGGTTCTACTTTTGGATAGTCAGGTCAAATACTGCACCTAAAGTTGTGTCTGGGGGGCCTGGCCCTAGCTCAGGCCTTTAAGTGGCTGCTTCCACAAAGCTGTCAGCCTCAGGTTGCTGGAGTTCGAACCTCACAACTCTCCCGGCTGGCCAAAAGTGCCCTGAAGGCGTTCGAGGAACAACAACAACAAAAAAAAAAAAAAATTTCCTAAAGTTGAGTCTAGAAATCACATATGACACAAAAACAAAGCTATACTGTTCAGAGACTTCTTGAAAACCTAGGTATCAATGAGAAAATAATCTTCAAACATCACATAATATACGTATTGAAGTTTACAAATGGTATTTTTAGCTAAGACAATTTCAATTTGTGAAAGAATGAGAGGGCACTGAATTTTTTACTTGAAATAATTTTATTTCTTAAGAGTCTTTAATAATCAAATGAGAGGGCTGAGGAGATACTCAGGGGCTTAAGTGCCTGCTGGGCAAGGGCGAGGGCAAGGCGGGGGTATTCAACACCAACTCAAAAAAAATCTAGTCCAACTTACTTGAAATATTTCAAAGCAAGGCAATAATGCTGATGTTTCAACACTAAAGTTTGAGGTTAAACGAAAGAATCAAAACTTAACTCTATAAGTTCTTTTTATTTTCCTTCAGGGCACATATCCATCCAAGGCTATCTTCTTTTGACTAACAATACATTTCAGTAAATAGAACATTTCAAACATAATGAAAACCAGGGCATCTTTTTAGTTAGGAAATATGCAAGTTAAGACTAAATACAATTTGTAAATTGATGAGAACTTTGGAAACTTGAGGGATAAGTAAGGCCTAATGTAGTGTTTTTAATTTGATTTTCAAGGAAATTCTGGGGCTGGGATATAGCTCAGTGGCATAAACGCCTGCCTAGCAAACACAAGATCCTGAGTTCGACACCTGGTATTGCAAAAAAAGAAAAGAAAAAAACGAAAAGAAAAGAAAAGAAAAAAAATAAATAAAAATAAAAAGGAAAAGAAAAATCCTAATTTCAGTGGAGAAAAATCTTGAGTACATACTACAATAAATGTGCTATTATGGACAAGTATAAACATCCTAAAGCTTCAAAAATATATTAATAGTTTTAGTAGTAAACAGGAAGGCATGAGGGGGTAAAAAAGTCTACTTCCACAGTATTTTCAAAAAATACACTAACGTTTTATGGGATTAAAATTTCTTGCACTAAAACAGGCATAGTAGGGCTGGGGAAATGGCTCAGTAGAATAAACGCTTCCCCAGCAAGCGCAAGGGCCTGAGTTCAATCCCCGGTTCCAAATAAAGAAATAAATAAATAACAAGAACGTTAAACCTATTTTAAAAAAAAACAGGCATAGTAGCACACACCTGTAATCCCAGCACTTAAGGAGACTGAGACAGGAGGATCACTGACAGTATAAGGCCAGCCTGCATTGTACTGCAAGATCTTGTCTCAAAAATCACCAAAATAAATAATTTCTTCCATTAGCAGACATTTTTTCCACCTAAGATAGCAAAAAAACTTGTTTCAAACAAAAAACATGATTTAATGTTTTAAAATAACTCAAAACCAGGAGCTGGGAAGATAGCTCAGTAAAATAAGCACTTGCCTGTCAAGCACAAGGGCCTGAGTTCAAGCCCCAGTTCTGCAAAACAAAACAAAACAAAACAAAACAAAACAAAACAACTCTAAACCTGTAAACTTCATTGGGTCACCAACTACAAACTCAAGAGAAATATTAAAACAAAGAAATACAAATTTCTTTCAAGTTTATCTTTAAATTCTAGCATAATGAAAACTAGAATTTCTAGTAAGACTTTCAATGGCATATTTTTACTGTACTCTGAATATTTTTAAAGTTTTGTATTAAATTTTCAGTTTCTGCATTTTCAAAGAATAATTTCCAATAATAATAATAATTTCCAATTTCTCATGCAATAGAGAAATCACCTTTTAAAAGGAGAAATCTAAGAACAGATAGGGAGAATGCACCTTTTAGGGTATGTACGACTTTCATTCCACCCTCCAAGTTGACCCCTGTGGCTACCAGCAGTTAAGAGTTGTCTGACAAAGAGCCCTGTACACAACTAGGTAAAACAAAATACACCTTTTTCTTTTTAAAAGGGGGAAGATTTATTCTAGATTTTACATAATAATCCTATTAAAATGTGTGTTGCCATTCCCAACAATTAAAAGTTAGTATTAACAAAGCCAGAACGGTTAAAATCATTAGCAAGTAGCTGTGTATCTGCAAAGAACCGAATAATGTTTTGGGGATGTATGTTCTAGGTTATACTCCTATCTTAAAACACACAAGCAATATTTTCTTTTCTCTGTGGATTAGAATGCTTGTGAGCTACCAACTTTCAGGATTTCTGGCAGCAAAAATCTCATAATTTCTTGCTTGTACAGTGAGCACAAACTCTTAAACTAAACCTATCAAGGGAGAGCAGTACTGAAACTTTTGGCTCAAAGATACTCTTTTTTTTGTTACACCACACAAATACAGTGACTGCCATGCTTAAAATGAGAATGAGATACACAAAAGGACCACTGACACCAATGGGTAACTAGCAAACACAATCCAACTAATATCGACTCTTAAGTGCTTTCTTATCAACTTCTAGCCATTCTATAAAAATTCTGCTACTATTCTTTTTCCGTAGATTTTAGTTACCTTCCCAAGCCCTCTTCAAGCAAATGTTTTTCTAGAGATCCACTTTCCTGGCGATTCTAACAGTTATATACAACATGTGCCCCATTTTACACTTTGTTGTTATTTTGCTTTTCTCCATTGTTTTATTTTGTTTTTATGAGTGTGAATGTGGTGTCTAGCCTCTTCATGATCCTTGTTCTGTTCTTTTTATCTTGTCGTCCTCTCTTTCCTTCTGGTCTTCTGTACCAGTTTCCCAAAGTTAGCATGATACCCCTTTGTCCTCCAGCCTTACTTCATTCATTCTTTTACTTATTTGGTACAGGTTCTCACTGTGCAGCCTGGACTCCTAGTGATCTTCCTGTCTCAGCCTCCCCGCCTTGGGATTACAGATGTGTACCACCACACCCAGCTTCAGTGACTGGCTCGGTGCCCAGGGCCAGCACGGCATGTTTGCTGGGGTTTGAACCCAGATCCTTGCGCTTGCCAGGCAGGGGCATAGACTGCTGAGCTATTCCCCCAGCCCTTCTCTCTTCTTCTACTTCTGTTTTCTCCCTAACTCCTTCTAAATTGTTAACCCCTGAGGGAAAAATTGACATATTAAGAACTTATATACTATAGGGCTGGAGAGATGGCTCAGTAGAATAAGCGTTTGCCTGGTAAGCGCAAGGAGTGAGTTCAATCCCCGGTTCCAAAAAAAAATAGAAGAACGTACATACTGCCTATAATTTCCTGCTCTGTTTTAGATTGTTATATAACCACAAATCTAATTCCTACAGTTAAAACTGGCAAATTAATGGTTACTTCAGTTTGTCATTTTATAGATTATTTGATGATCCTCTTATTGCTAATGGTATTACTTTAGCCAGAAGTGACACAACTATTCTAAAATAGCTTTTCTTTCTGGTATTCTAAGACTGAGACTGACTAAGAATTATAGAAAATACTGTGGCACAGGGCTAAAGAACCAGGGGCTGAGCAAAACAGACAGCAATCTCTTATCCCCAACAATTTGAAGAGGTAGGATTGAGCAACAGACTTGAAATTCAAAAACCAACTACAACTGGAAGATACCTCAGAGAGGTAGTCATTTCCTAAGAGTTCTAAATACTAGCACTAAAGCAAACCATAATAGACAATTTGTAAGTATCACCTCAGGAAGGAAGGAAAGGAGGAAGGAAAGGAAGGAGACAGATACTTAAAAAAGATGTAACGCTGGAATCCAGTTCACCAAAGGCAAATTCAGTGGCAATGAGGTGGGACAATCTGAAAGCCATCTACCTGGCCTCTCTGAAGTAGTAATAACAAAGCAATTGAATGAGGCTCTAGAAAAAAATCAAATCAGGAATTTTTCAGAGAACTACACAGATGGTGTCCATAACGAAAACTATGTTTGACTCTAGACCAGAAACATATTTAAAAAAAAAAAAAAGAGAGAGAGAGAGAGGAACTTAAGAAAATTATGGGAGCCATAAAAGCTCAACATAGGAAAGAAATACAAGGGGTTTGGGGATATATAGCTCAGAGACACGGCGCCTGCCTGGCAAGCATAAGAACCTGAATTCAATCCCCAGTACCACCTAAAAAAAAAAAAAAAGGAAAGAAATGGAATCGATATAGCAGATTCAAGCACATACCTAGGAGAATAAAAGTTCCACTGAAAGTATCCACCAATGTCAATGAGAGGAAAGGATCTTAGTTATAGAACATAGGCTTATGGTTGGCAATCATGAAAAGCATTTTTTTTTTTTTATTATATCTTTAGTAGTCTACAGAGTCTCACTACACAGATCAGACTTGTAGTGATCCTCCTATTTTCAGCCTTCCAAGTGCTAGGATCACAGGCGCATGCCACCACACCCAGTCTCAGTCCCAGTGCACCCCGTGGGACGGGGCCAGCACAGCACACCAGGGATCGAACACCTGATCCCTCCACTGAGCTATCTGGCTGGCCCATGCAAAGATTTCTTTAAAAATGCATGGAACCATAAGAAATCAATCCAGCAGTTGATGAGTAAAATAATAAGATTATGACTAAAGTCAATGAAAAAGCATGCAACAGCACAAATGATTAATTAAAAAAAAACCTATTCACACACATCATGGCAGAAAATTTCTGGGTAGGGGAAAAAAACTGACATATGGAAGTATGGCTTAGGGAACTCCAATTAGCAATGAACATGCAGCCCACTTCCTCTGTACCTTATACACAGGGCCTAAAGGTAATTTTTTAGTGTGCCTGCATTGTGACTGCAAATGAGGTTACATGTAGAATTTTCCATTTGTTGTATTATGTTTTTTGTTCATAATGTTTAGAATTTAGGAGGATTTAAAATTTTCAGATTAAGACATTTTATTCTTTTCTTCTTTTACAGAACCTATTACACATCTTGGTCCTTATACTTTTGGTTTCTCAAATCAGAGAATAAACATGACATTTACACATGAATCTGATTTATTTAACTTAAAAAGTATGGTCTCAGGATACAACCATGTAGTTGGATATGTCCTAAGTTTATTCATCTTCAGGGCTGGGAGCACACTATTTCAGGGGAAAAAAAAAAAAAACCAAAAAAACAAAAAACAACACATCTTTATCCATTTAGTGACTGACAGGCATTTCGGCTGTTTCCAAGATTTAACTAGCACAAACTCTGCTGCTTATAAACATGGGAGTGCATATATCACCCATGGCATGATGCTTTTAATTCTTTTGAGAAGATACCAAGAAGGGGACTATCTGGCTCAAACAGAACCTCTAGTTTCAATTTTTTGTGTGAGTGGTGCAACCATTGATTTCTACAGTGGTTGGGTGCGTGTGGGTGTGTGTGATTTTTTTTTTTAACTCCTCTACATAAAATGTGCAAATAGGAACAGGAACGAGGGAGAGGGAAGGGGAAAAGGAAGGGAAAAGAAAAAACAAAGAAGGAAAAAATGGAAACAAAGCTTTTATAAATAAGTAGAGGAGGAGGGGGCTGAAGGAAAGGTATAAGAATAGGGAATAAAAGAATGCAGATATATCATGTAAAGGTACAAATTCCCTATGATGAATGTGCTTTTTACATATACTTAAAATGTCCCAATAAACTTACTAACAACAAATAATTGACAACTTTATCTCATTAAAAGATATGTTTATTTGTGAGCAGTTATCTACCATTAATTTCTCAAAATTTTATTTTTATTTATTGATTTTTGGTATTTTAGGGAAGGGTTTAAAGGTTGTTCAGGGATTCACTACTAGATTGGACCTGTAGTGATCCGCCTGTTTACAGCCTCCCAAGAGCTTGGATTACAGGTGTGTGCCACCATGCCTAGTCTCAACTGCCATCTCAGTGTGCCTCAGGGGCGGGGCCAGGAGGGCAGGCCTGGGGATCAAGTCCTCAGCCCCTGTGCCTACTTGCAGGTGCCTTAATTTGCTGAGGTATTTAGCCGGCCCTTCTCAAAATTTTAACATGCAAATCTTTCAAGTACACTTGGTACTATATAATTTTTTTTATATCTTTTATTTACTTGGTACAGGGTCTTGCTATGCAGCTTAGACTAGTAGTGATCCTCCTGTCTTAGCCTCCCCATTGCTGCGATGACAGGAGTGCATGACCACACTCAGTTTCAGTGGGCTTGCCACTATATATATAATGTACGTTCACAACCGCTGTACTACAAATTAGCTATACTATAATTTTTATATCACTTTAATGTTTTCTTTAAGGAGTTATAACGCCTGGTCTGCTAAATCAACACTTTTGTTTCCACAGTTATAATCCAAAGCCCCTTAGAAGGGATACACCTGTCCAACTGGATTATGCATATACCACCAGTAATTCAAACAAGCAACAAATGAATTCAAAACAGAGCCACCAGGCAACAAGATATTACAAGCCTTTTATGAACGGGTTAATCTGTCCAAATGAGGAGCTGGGGAGATAGCTCAGTTGAATAAGTGCTTGCCTGGCAAGTGCAAGGGCATGAGTTCAATTCAGCTCCACAAAAAAAAATATAATAAAATCTGTCCAAATGCTATTATCTGAGGAAACTGAGTAAAGGGCATATTATGATCCAGTCTTAATTTATTCAATTACATATGAATTTAGAATTTAATTGAAAAATAATTTTACTTTTTAATAAAGTAAGTTTATTTTAAAAGTACTTAAAAATTAAAAAGTTTCACTGAAAACATATATACACAATTAAAATACACAAGTCTCTGATTTAAATAGGATGGGGAAAGAAATTAAGTTTTCCCCTATCCATAGACTTCCTTTTTTTATTTGACTGCACAATTATCTCAAAATGGGATAACTATTCACTCCAGGTCTCCCTAAGATACAGTATTTCTCAAAGTACCTTTACTCCAAATCAAACCAGTGAAAAAACATTAATATACAAGCTCATTCTTCTTTAAACCCCAATTTCTGAAGGAACATCAAAGGTATTATCTAAGAACTGTTAGAAATGCAAAATCTCAGGTTCTTCCTCAGGTTTGCTGAATCAGAATAGATACTATAGCAATATGCCTATATAATTCCTACATGTAACAAACCTTAAGAGACACTGTAGTAAACAGCAGAAACTTAAAAAACCTTCATAGTTTTAGGCTGATAAATCTTTACAATTACTAACCTCATGGATTAATTTACTTAAATTGCATACCTGTAATTTTACTCATGTCTTACCAAAGTTGTCCAAACTACTTACTACAAAACTATGTTTAAGCAATATTTTAGACACTGGAAAAAAAAAAAAAAAAAACTGGTCACCTGATTTATCCAAAGTCACCTAGTTTAGGAATACAGTAATCTTACTTAATTCCTATATTTATCTACTAAATACTTTTAACACACTGCAACCTTGCTGAATCCTTAATGTCATATATGTACTTGATTCTCAAACCAGTTCTGACTCCATTTAGGTATACGAACATGGGCAGAATATAAAACCCAAGTACAAACTAGGAAAGTACAGTTTCTGCAGTGTTTCATTTTATAAGGCATAAATCTTAAGTGTCCCTACTAGAAATGGCATCAAAACAGCTAATTGCAAACAAACATGCAAAGAAACAATCTAGTCACTTCACTCTGGCTACAAAAAATTACTAAATGTACCTAGTTCAGCTGTTTTCAACTTTACCTGTCCTATTTACCCTGAAAAATGGAACTGCAGATCTATACAATAAAATGTAATATACTAATGAACAAGGCCAAATGAAAACAGGAGAAAAACAGCTGATGAGAACATTTCATACATATTTAATATAAGTACTTTCTAAACATGCAGTTTAAAATGAGAAGAATTTTCTTAAAAGCTAATTCCAAACTTAACAAAAACACCTACTGAAACCTGTTTTGGAATTACTGAAAAGGTATTTTCTTTTTAATTCTGAATTTAAAATAAAATAACTGGAATCATTTTTTCACAGGTCAACAAAACAACATAACCTCAGGTATTTCATTTAAAGAAGAGCATGGGGATATACAACTTACTACATTTAGCCTGTATGTACTTACTTTCTGAATGAATTTCTCAACACTCTGTACCACATGTTTATAGAACTGGAAAAGAAAAAGGTACAGTTTTTAAATCAGCTTACTTTAAGTAGATAATTTCCTACCAACTACATGTTTAAACATAGCTCCAAAGGTCCATCAAGATAATTAAATTTAATCAAATTTCACAATAAAGGTTCACAGTACTCATCTACATAAGCAGCCAGCATTAATGTCTGATTACATAAATAGTTCTCTTATGTAACTATATGGTCAGTATATCCAAACTACATTAGTATAACACAGACTTATAAAAATAATTTCAAAGCCTTTTTGAAAACATACTTTTGACAAACTGCTGTAATTACATCAAAGTATTTTTGATGTATTTATGTGTACACATATCACAAGGGTAGTACTAGAAACTAAACCCTGATCAAAAAATAGCATCAATAAATCTAACAGTGTTGTTTTTAACTTGTTTCCTGCTTCCCTTGCAAAATGAAATGCAGATATATGTAAGATGTAGAAAAGTACAATGCTTATAATGGCTGATTGTGTCCACTTGAATAGTTAGAAGCTTAACTAAATCAGCTCAGCAATTCTGTACCCTTGGGTATAGAAGATCCACCCTAGGGCGATTCATCACTCCTATAGTATAAAGGGAAAATGAAGAAGGATGAACTTGCTTCTGTTCTTCTGTTCCTCTGCTCCCATCTTTGCCTTCAGCTTGGACACGGTCTCTTGGCTTTATTGCAGACTCTTCGACTTCTGCCTTGGATCCTTCAGTCTTCCAACACAGATTCTCCAGCCTTCCATCACAGACCGACCAGCCTCCTGATGCAGACTTGCACCAGAAAGTGAACTCCAGGCCTTGGACTGAAACCTTCGGTCTGCAGCGTACACACATCCTCTGTGCGTTTCCTCATCCAACTCTATGGCTGCTGACCGTAAGCCAACCTTGTAATTTCTTATACTTTTGTGTATCTTGCATTATATCTATTTCTCTAGTAAAATACTAATGGCCTAATGAATCTCACAAAGTTTAGTGGAAGAGAAGTAAAGACATGCATTAAAAATCAATAATGATCTACTATCAATTATGAGAATACTTAGAAGATTTAAGTTTCTTAGAACATGGTATGTGAGACATGAACATCAAAATAAGTAACTTTCTAGAATTTCTTTTTAATAAATATGAATACCTCTATGGTAATGCTGTGTTTAGCATACTTCTGTTTAGAGAATGTGAATTATACTTCTAATGAATTTTGCTGAGGGAAACTGCCTTAGCAAAAACACAAAACCTTAGCAAAAAACACTAAAATTGGAAACTAATTCAAGAGATGGAAGGGGAAGTAGGAGAAAAAAAAGTAAAAAGAATTAAATTGTCATGTGCATTTACCAACTTCCCAAAATCAATGTAATCATTATGAACTCTAAATGTACATTAATAAAATTTAAAATTTAAAAGATTAAGTAAAGTAAGTTATGTATGAATTTTATAGTATATTAAATAATAGAATTTCATCAAACTGAAATTTCTTGTATGTGATTGTCATACTACAGTTTCTTGGGAAAATGTTAACAGATTTAAATTTGTGCATATATAAAGTACTACTATCAATGAAGTCTGAAACTCTCAAATAATCAGCCAGAAAAATAAAACAAGTATGTATCTCTATGAATTTGTAGAAATTAAGCAAATGGTTCATAACTGGTGAATCTAGGGGAAAACTATATCATGCTTGCCATAGCATTTTGCAAGTTAATTTTTAAAAATTAAAAACTAATAATAAATCAAAATAGCTTATCATAAAATTAAATTACTCAACTAAAACATAAATTCATATTCTTAACAAATTACTTAATTTGTTAATCTCTGACATCTAAAAACAGCAAACAATGTTAGCACCTATAGTTCACTGAGCCTTTTTTTTTTCCATAATTTTATTAAGAAACAAATAGCAATGAGACAGTTTCAAACCAAACTGGTAGGACAACACTGAGCCTTTAATTAAAAAGGCATTGTGCTCAAGTTGGCATTGTGCTCAAGTTACATAAAACACAATTATTTTCAAAGAATAAAAATGGCTGTTGTATACTCTCAAGATCATAGAAGATGAGATCACAACGGAAAATACAGTATTCAATACAAGAGGCTAAACTAATACAATATTCAACCTATCATATACCATGAAAAAAACCTGTTTTAATATTCATAGATTAATAACTACTTAATTAGAAATAAGAACACATTCATTCCCATGTTATAAACCCTTACTAAAGGAAGAGGTGTTCTAGAAATAAAAATTTAGGAAGGTATGTATAGTTGAGTTCAAAGGTCTTTCAGTCAAAAAAATTTATGTAAAATTCTGCACATATACGAATCTCTTCAGAGATTCAACCTTTTTCAGACCTTTGGACCAGCCAACATACGTTCAGCCTTCCATATCAAAGCAATCATTAAATGTCTGTGGTACCTTCATGCAACTCATGTGCCTTCCATACAACAAAGTTCAATTACTTTCATAATGCCTTATTTTCAAATCTATACAGAATTAGTAATTTTTAAAAATGTAATATATTAATTTTTACTTCAAAGCTTTTTATCAACTTGTATTTAAAATTCTGTGAAGCCAGGGTGACAAATGATAGCGTTAAACACATTCTCCATGATGTGGATGCATATAACCAATAAATCATACCTAAGAGAAGTTAAGGAAAAATGTGTACATCCAAGTATATGAAAGGACAGTTAGCGAAATGTTAAGTATTTATATGGTTTGCAGGTGGTAGGATTTTTCTTTTCCACACTGAACATGTATTCAGTGTAAAGCAGGAGTAATTACATAAATTATAAAAATTATTACTCCTTCATCAGGTTCGTGGTATAAGTCTGTAACCATGGGAGGCTTACAGGCTCCTGAGGCAGGAGGATCACTGAGAGTCTGAAGCCAATCTAGGCTACACAGTAAGTTCAAAGCCAGTCTGAACTACACAGCTAGACTCTGTCTCCTTCCCCCTTCAAAGAAAACTACCCCCCTTCAAAAATATTAGGGTAGTATTTTCTTTTGAAAATATGAAAATTTATTACTTACCTTAATAGCTTTGATGGCTGCCTTTGTAATCTGGGTCATTTTTGCTTTAGAAATAGGTGGCTTGTAGTCATTCAAGGAATACAACTGATGAAAAAAACAAACAAAAGTTTAAGTACAGCAAGACTGTCTCTAAGCAACTGCATGACATAACCAAGATTTCCATTTTTTATATTCTCAATGAAATCAAAGGACTGCTTTTCTTCTAAAAAGCTCAAGGGCCAGCCAGATAGCTCAGCAGACTGAAGTGCCTGCTTAGGCAGGGGCCTGGCATGCAGGTCCTGCCCCTGGGGTGCACTGAGATGGCAACTGAGACTGGGCGTGGTGGCATGCAGCACCTGTAATCCCAGAGGTTGGGAAGATGAAAACAGGAGGATCACTATGAGTCCAATCTGTGTAGAGACCTTGTGGACCCTAAAAAGCTTAACATTAGGGAGCTACATCCAAATTCAAGCTATCATTTCACACTCAGTTGCTTATTATCATCAACAAGATAACAAGTGTTAGGGATGTGGAAAAGTGGGAATTTTGTATAATGCTAGTGGGAATATAAAATTTTTCAACAACTGTTTTTAAAAGAATAGTTTCTTTTTTCTTTTTTTTTTTTGCAGTACCAGGGATTGAACTCAGAACCCTGCACTTGCCAGGCAAATGCTTATTCTACTGAGCTAGCTCCTCGGCCCCAAAAGAACAGTTTATAAATTAAAAAAATAAATAAATAAAGTCACCATATGACCTAGTCAATTTCACTCATAGGTATATAATCAAAAAACCTAAGAGCAAAAATATTCACACTAAAAAACTTGTACATGAATAGTCACTGCAACATTATTCAAGTTCATTTAAATTTTAAAGGCAGAAACGACCCAAAGGTCTATCAACTGACAAAAGCATAAACAAAACATACCACATCTTTGAACTCTAAGAAGGAATGAGATACTGATACATACAACTGGAATAGACCTTAGAAACATTGTGCTACAAAAGAAAAATGAGGAATGACTACTAACAGTGTTTCTTTGAGGTAAAGAAACTATCCTAAAGTTAATTATAGTGGCTGCACAACTTTGATAATATACTAAAACTTAATTATTTACTTCCAACTGGTTGCTCTAGTAGTATAGGAATTATACCTCAATAAAACCATTGGAAATCTAAGGGTATTGATGGTGCATGCCTGTAATCCCAGCACTTGGGAGGCTGAGGCAGAAAGATCACCTTCAGTTTCAGGACAGCCTGGCTATACAGTGAGTTCAAAGCCAAGCTGAATTACCTAGTGAGACTGTCCCAAAAAACAAGCAAACTAAAAAAGCAATAAAATACAAATTAAGGACACAGTAATGTTTAACGATCTTCCTTCAAGAAATGTTTCTTTTTAAATTTCCCATACAAGGAAACAATAATAGTAGTGCCTAGTGAGCAAACAGGTAAAGATGGTGGAGAAATCACTCAACATGCAAATAACTAAGCTTAAGTGAATACTGATTAAAATTCACATTTACTCAGTGATTAATATTTACAAGTCTGGAAAATAAGTTTGATGATTAAAACACTGTAAAAACTACCTGAACAGACTGCTATCTGTATTTGTGCCTCATATTTATGGAATACACTCAAGTTCTCCTTATATATATATCTCTTCTTCCTTCCTTAATCGCTACCCTCAATGACTACAGTCCAAATTATACCTTCATTTACCACCTAGAAAACACCTAAATGAATGCAGCATATTTTCCTCATCTCACAGCCAGCTTTCCAAATGTGAAACAGACCAGGTGAATGACATTCAAAAGCATTCCCATAACCCCTTCAAACGGTCAGTGACATCTTGGATAAAAACAAACGTGTATGTATAAGGCACACCTGGTCCTACTCATGTCTCCAATTCCAGTTTCACTTCCCATCATGTTCATAGCTCCCTCTCTGCTCCTGATGCAATTATTTTTTTGCAGTACCTTACCACACGCCTTTTAAAATAAGGCTTGTTCTTTTAGACAACTTGTGCCAAGGATATAGCTCAGCCGCACAGCACCTGCCTGCCAAGCGTGAGGTCAAGAATTCAATTCGTGCTTTAAAAAAAAAAAGCCTGCAAGTAGGCATGGGGCCAGGAGTTCATCCCCAGGCCTGCCGTGCTGGCCCCGCCCCCGGAGTGCACTGAGATGGCAACTGAGACCGGGCATGATGGCGCACACATGTAATCCCAGCTTTTGGGAGGCTGTAAACAGGTAGATCACTATGAGATCAAGTAGTGAGACCCTGAATACCCTGAATACCCTGTAAACCCTTCCCTACAATACCAAAAAAAAAAAAAAAAGTACAGTTCATCATATTAGCTAATGTGCACTTGTCCTTCATAAAGCATTACCTGGTGAAGATTTCCTTCTTATGAAGCAGGTAAGACAGAGGATATAAATTCCTTTAATGCAATTCTTTAATGCAATTTACGAGGTTAACTGTATACTAAACATGCAAGCTGCAATCAATCCTAGTAAGACACATATTTTTCCTCTTCAATTTCTTAGAAACCAATCTGTTCATGATTTTGCTTAACTAGTTATGTACCAATGGACACTTCCAAAGACCTTTCAAGCTAAAGTGGTTAAGATCTTTACTTCTGAATGTAAGCCCTCTGTCAAACTCAGAATTTTAGCAGACTCACAGCCTCTATCCCTGATTTAGAAAATCCACCTGTATGCCAGGCCACTTGGGTGCAAAAGAATAATACCAGCTGGATGTGGTGGCACACATCCTATAATCCTTAAGAGGCTGAGGACAATGATCACTGGGAGTTCAAGGCCAGCCTGCACTACAAAGTGAGCTCAAAGTGAACCTGAACTGCACAGCAAGAGCCTGAACTGCACAGCAAGAGCCTGTCAAACACTCTATGGCTTATAGCAAACCTCAGAAAGGAAAGGTTAGTTTCTCAGAATTTTTTAGAGGGCCAATCTGAGATCCATTCTTGTCCTCTTCTGTAGCGAATAAGCTCTAAGAACAGAAACCTTGTGTTTTTGTTTATATTTTTTTCCCTTTTTCTTTAAAGTGTATTCTCTATCCTTGGTAGAGATTATTCAAAAATGAATTAAAATAAATATGTACAAGACACAACAAAATATAACTTTTTACTTTTAATTCCAACTAAGTTAACTTGTTAAAAGCTGCTAAAACCTCTAAAACTTTGGTTTTCTATTTACAAGACAGAAAATATTCACTTGACAGTGTTTCAAAGCACATAGCTTTTAGAGCACAATAAAACACTCAACAAATTAGCCATTATTAAAATGTTTTCCTTAGATAAACATTCTCCACCTAAATAATAGTAAAGGTTCCAGCAAACACTATTCACTCAGCCACTTGAAAGAAAATTCTGTATTTATTTATATAGTAAGGTAATGAAGAAGCATCAGCTTGTTTTACTTCTTCTATTCTGTGAGATAAAAGCCTGAATTTCAGTTAAGCACTAGTCCAATAGTCTCACATACCAAAGCATTGCCTGACTTTTTAAGGGGTGGGAGAAATATGACTTCAAGAACATTTTCAGCAGGCAGAAAAGTCAGCTCTTATTGAAGGCCCACTTTTTTAAAAAACACATTCAGCTTCCCTTTTAATCTTTTCTGTGTTCTACATTGTCTACTGTTGATTAATCTTGAGTATCACACTCAGTTCCATCAATGATCATTTGTTAAGAATGTTATAACTGTCACTGTTATGTTTAACGAAATTATAGCGATGGAGTGCTGCCAGCCAAGTAGACTCTTTTATGTATAATTCAACCAACCTTTAGATCTACAAGATATGACTATGTAGTACACACGTACACAGAAAGCAATTAATAATTTTCACTATCAAACTACTATAATAGTGCCTGTTATTAAAACTGCAAGCTTCATTCAAACTTCCAATCTAGTATCAAATAATGTCAACCAGCCAAAAACAAGAAAGAATGTAATTTTTTCTATGGTCTCAAAATCTGAATCAGAACAGAAAATATATTATGGTTTTATAATAGAAAACGCTAGAGAAGATCATCTAGGACCTCACTTTTCCTCTATCTCTATGTTTATGTCAGAAGACCACAGCTATCCAGTTTTTCCTACATGAATTTTCATCCCATTTGTGTAACTTTTGGGGCCTGGCTCCCTGCTGTGTGTTTTCCAATCTTAAGTTTTTGCGATTCCAATTACTCTGCTGCACTAACTTCCTCCTCAGTATAGACTACTGTAGTTTCTCTCTTAGATTGGGCCTGGGTCTTGGTAACATGAGCAGTGAGTATGCAGCCTTTAGGGTTGCCTCCCTCTAGAAAATGATGACAGGTAGCATGCCAAGTACATCTTGGTCTGTGGCAAAACCAAGAAAAGATGGGCTTAAAGAATCTGGCTAGATGGTTCCTGTATAAACAGTACCTGGTGATGCCTGGACTTCTAAGGTCATAGTCAGATCTGCCATCAGAAGACTAAAGGAATGGAAAGACCAAAAGAAACTATTTAAGACAACCCTAGTCTATAATAAATAGATAATCTTAAGTTTCTAAAAAAAAAAAACTATACTCTGGTTTCTCTTCAGATCGTATAAATCTTTCACCTTTTACTAAAAAAAAACTACTGTGGTTTTTTAATGCTCCTTGGAACTTTTGCACTATTGTTCATATTGAACTATCCTTCTCAAACCTAAATCTCTTCCTCTAGTATACCTAACAAGTTCTAATGTTATCTAAACTCAGGTGACAAAACCTTTTACTTACACAAACAAAATCCCTTTTATCTCAGTAAATGGAATGAAGTCCAGTCCTAAATAGCCTCTTCACTGGGCCACTGTTATGGTTTGTGTCTAGATGTTCTCACAAAGCCTCATGTAGAGGCAGACTTCTAGAGGTTGTGATTAATTCATGATCCAATGCTGGGATTATGGATATAAATGCTGCTGAGATTATGGGTGTGAGTGCTACACCCGCCCTGGGGCAGATACCCTGGATATAGTATGAAGAAAGGAGAGAGGCTTGCTCTTTGCCTCTGTTGCTGCTGTGGTTGTGTCTGCTCCTGCCTTTTTGCCCTTGCTGCTTTGCTGTTTTCCACCTCCATGAACTGCTGCCC